GCATCATTGCCTAAAACCTTATTTCAGCAGCATCCTATAGATTAAGTGTGTAGGAGTAGTTGTTAAGACTCTTCGATGTGTACGATACCCATTTGCGAATGAATTGGACCGTGAGCTCAACGTTCCGGCCCCCTCCACGTCGAAATTTTTGAAACTTATAAAGGAGGGCGAGGTATCGATTTAGCTGCATTAATTGAAATGGTTGAAGGGAGGAATTGCAAATAAAGAGGCGTAGCCTCCTTGGTAGTGAGCGTGGACGGCAGAGTTGCCAAAGAATCTTAGTGACCCGACACTTTGTGTAGACATGATGGGTGTAATAGCGACCCCAGACATAACGACCACAGAATTCACATTCACGGTCAGAATGATGCGTAAAATGACCCAAATTGAGTCGGTGAACAGCGTCCATACCATCTGGGTAGCAACGTTTGCCATGAGCCAAGATCTTAAAAAATTTTACCCAATCAGCGGGATCCAAATCATAAAGATTAGACCAACCCTCCGGGATAACACATGGCTTTGCTTCAATATTAAATTTCTTTGAACGACTATTGAAAAAGTCCCCCGGTAAATCTGCGAATAGTGGTGGGAGAATAGTAGAAGGGGGTGACCCGAAGAAGTCCCTATATTCATCATGTGAAAAATGACTCGGCTGTGCCGTATATGTTTTGCGAAGTGAACCAATTAAATCAAACCATGCTTCCAAATACACCTTCTCGGTGTTCGTAAAAATATCACTTTGATCAACCATAGTAGAAATATCCCTACCCTGATAATTTAGAGTCAACCCAGTGAGGAACTTGTACCAAGGGATTGCTAGAATAGAGTCTGTAGAAGCTTGATAGGAGTCAGCCAGCTTATTCACAAATTCCTGGAGCTTATAAAAATTGGTCAACACAAGGAACGCGTATAGAGTTCAAATGAGATTAAATCTTTAGAATATAAGTGCAGAAGAAACTTTTAAGAAATAATAATAATTCTTTACAGCAAATATGTAAATCTATTCCCTTTATTCTTAATCATTTAGAACTACTAAATTTAATAATTATATATTAGCTATCCTAACTTTTAACTATACCTCCACTAGGGTTAAAACTTAAGCTCACAGACTTTGATAAAATATTCATTTTCCATCTTCTTTATTACATCAAGCTGGAGGTGGAGGAGGAGGAACACTTGAAGCAGGAGGAGGAGGGGGATGTACTCTGGAAGCAGGTGGCGGTGGTGGAGGAGGATGCACTTTTAAACCCGGAGGAGGAGGAGGTGGAGGTTTAGCCTTCGACAATCCCGGTGGTGGAGGTGGTGGTGCATGAGAAGTAGTCCCAGGAGGAGGAGGTGGAGGAGGAGGAGCATGATTAGACGACCTCGGTATTGGTGGAAGATGTTTTGATTCCACGTGTTGTGAATGAGACGAAGGAATACTTGAAGAAGGCGGAGGAGGATATGAAGGTTGCAGGGATGCGGTCTGCCAAGGTGGTAATTGTGGTTCTGGTCTAGGCTTTTTCCATGGAGGTAAACTCTCTTCTGGTCTTGACTGTGAGTAAGAACTTCTTGGTTCATATGAATCTCCTTGAGTTCTGACATCTCTTCTTCCGAATCCAGTATTTTGTTTACAATCTCTTGCAAAATGTCCAATGTTACCACATATACGACAAACAATGTGGGATATATCATTTGTTTGTCTTTGTCTCCTTTGATAAGCTTCAGGATCAAATGGTTTTGTTTCTCTTAAAGTACCATTTAAAACAGCAAGCTCTTTTAATTGTTCCCTTTTAAGTTCATTCTGCCCTTCTGGTGAAAAGATTAATTTCTCTATAACCTCATTGGCTAACTTAACAGCCTTTGCAATCTTCTGCTGAGAGTCCGAAGTGATCAAAACGTGTAGCTCATCCTCTGTAGTATCAGCACCATGTGAAGCTTTGTCTTCAATGGCTAATGTAGACTTCCCTTCCTTTACAGACCCTTTTCCACGAATCTGCAATCTTGCTCCACTTTCATCTTGTAATCGCTTCAAAGTTCTACCTCTTGGTCCTATCAAGAACCCAACAAAATTGATTTCAGGATAATCTTTAATTGGTATATACAATTTTTCAAAAGTCTTTGCTGGTTTTCGATAATCAGAAGGTGGCATGTAATTCTTAATACTACTAGCAGCCATCTCAACTAACGAATGTCTTTCCTTTTCAAGCAGATCTTTTATTCTTTGGTCCCGGGTATTTGTTCTATTTCCCGCATTGTCATACTTTGGAGGTGGGGATGGATCTCTTCTATATTTCACTCTAGCATCTAATTTATAAGACGGAAGGAAATCAGTGATTGGTGTATGTTGCTGATGAGACAGACGTAAGAAGTGGGAAATTTCTTCAATACGGAAGTATCGTTGGTAGGCATCAAGTTGTTCTTGTGTTAAATGTCCAGTTATAATTGTGTCAAATTTATGTCCACCAATTTCTTTATATCTGGTTGCCTGTCCTGACCATCGAGTACCACTATTGGTGTGGGTATTTTCATTACTCGGTAATGAAGCTCCGATCTGTTTTTCTAGTTCTACAGGTAACATTTAGTTTGGAGTTTATTTAAATAAAGTGATGAACACTAAATTGAAAACTTGAGATGACGATTTTTTTCTTTGCCCCAAATTAACACAGAGCTACCAAATAAATATTTGCACTTACTTAATTGACTATTCTATACTAAAGAGAGTTAACTACTTAAATTGTTAGTGATTTCTTATCTTCATGAATCTTAAAATGCTAAGAACTTCCCAACCTGCCTTTCTATTAATCACTGTATCTACTTGCCAACCTCTTGATCTCATTACATTAGCAACGTGATCTGGTTTATTTCGCGCACAAAATAAGATATAAGCGATGCCATCTGGTTGTGCTAGAATATTGTCTAAATCATTTAAAACCCTCCAAGTAGTTACCATGCCATCTAATCCTCCCAATAATGCCAAATCTAACCAAGTAGGATCTTCGCTATTTTCCGGTATTTCAGGCAATTCGGAAGCCGGAACATAAGGGGGATTAAAGATGAGCAAATCAATAGCTTGTGATTTTATAGCTGTCGTTAGATCCATTTGTGTGGAATCTACAACACTCAATTCTTGATCTATATTAGCTTTGACTGTTTCTAGAACAGTTTGACATGCATGTGGATTGATATCAGTAGTTAGAAATATTGAATTTGGAATTATATTCTTCATGACAAAAGTTGTTACTATTCCTGAACCAGTACCAATTTCAGTAACCAAGGGTAATGTCTTTTGTTTAAACCTATTTCGTATAAAATCTGCTTCTTGTTCAAAACAATCAAGAAATAAGAAAGAATCCTCTGATGGTTCATATACTTTATCATAATCAATATCTTTCGTTATGGGAGTCGGTAACATCGTTTCTAACTCATTCCCATCCATTCCATCTCTTCACCCCCCCGCCAGCTTTCTAAGTGAAAAAAAAATCCACACCAAAAAGTTAAACTAGAGACGGCGAGAGACGGAAACAGAAAAATTTAAGTAAATATTCAATTTGTTGATTTAAGTTAGTACCCGCCATCATCAAATACCAATGCAAGTTAAAGTGAAGACATTGACTGGAAGAGATATCTTAGTTGATATTGAACCAACTGATAAGATTATTAGAATTAAAGAGATGATGGAAGAAAAAGAAGGTATTTCCCCAGCTCAACAACGTTTAATTTTTAATGGTTCACAATTAGATGATGATAAGACTGTTCAAGAATCAGGCATCCTGGCAGGTGCTTCCTTACATTTGGTGTTAACTTTAAGAGGTGGATTTTAGAATAAAAACTACAATTAGATTTATCCCAAAAAATATTCTTACCAAGATTGCCATGCAATATATATCAAATCTCCAGTATATACAAATCCCATATTTATTTCTATAAATAACATACCATTCAATACAATTACAAGAGTTCCAATTTTTAACATATACATTTGATTTAATCCTGAGTTTTGGCCCATTTCCTCGCATTTTCCAAGAATTTATTAAAAGTAGCAGGCGCTTTTGCAATTTCATCTTGTGGAAACACATAATCCATATATTCTTCTTCAATCCCACCAATATTCCGTCTTTTCTTCACTACCGTTGGGAGTTTCTTCATAACCTTTTCAATAGATTCGGAGGTGCCATGAACTTCTTCATATTCTTTCCATGCGTCAAGGACCTCCAAACGTTCTTGTTTAGCGTCTTTATTTTTAAAATAATCTTCTGCTTCTTCAAATATCTTTCTTGTACTTTCAATCTGTACTTGGTCGATTGTAAGTTCAAATTCTTCTGATTCGCTATTTAAATATGCCTCAAGTTGCGATTTTGAAGGAATTGTTGATTCGAATAATGCAAATGAAATCCAATCTGAGGAACTAGGCGATTGCTCCAATAAGTCTCTATACATGTCTCTAATATGATCATACTTCATTTCATCCCTATAGAATTCCACACAAGTTTCAAATAATTCATCGACAGGTTCAAATGATTTTGAAGTAGTTTCATCTCTTGATAAACTTAACGCCAACTGCAATATTGCTTCACAACGATCATATTCTTCCAATGACTGTTCAAATTCAACATATTGCGCAATTATAGGGAGCACTCTTGTTCCGCTTAGTAATGCAAGTTCTATCCATTTCTCAAATAACAGACGTACTCTATCCCATTCCCCTAACCTCTTCTCAAAAGCTATATAGTATTTGAAAATACTGGATTTCGGTCCATTGCCCCCAGTTTGTCCAATTGACCTTCCGAGTATTTTACGAGCCTTTGAAAGACCCTCGTCTCCGCTATTTCTTAGTTCAAATTCAGCATATCCTTTCCATACTTTTCCAAAACTGAACAACTTGTGAGGTATCTTCTTTAGACAATTGCTCCAAATAATTCTAGCAGAGTCTATATCATTATTAGTTAACTCTTCCCATAGGGCATATCTTACCCATAGCATGATATACCTCCTCCACCTAATTGTCTTTGTCCTATCATTTGGTGCATGAGAAATAGAACTCTTAAAGGCTTTCGCAACATCCGATTCCTTAGAATGATTCTGTAGAATGGTGATTAATGCCCACCATGTGTCATAGTCTTGAGGATCATCTTTCAAATCAGACTCATACTTTGCCTTTCGCTTTAAAGTAACACTAGATTGAATAGAGCCTTTGCTCCCATATGTTTTTTCAAATGTACTGAAATGTTTGTATATTGAATCACGAAAGCTCGACGGTATTGCTACTTTTGATTCCGCTTTATCTAGTAATATATCATAAATCTGTCTAGCTCGTTCAATTTCCTCACATGAAACTTCCCAATCAGCCCATTTGGCAATTATATCTGATAATCCAAGGTCATCCATTTCCGTTATTCTTGGAAGTAATTCATCAACTGCTGCTTCAAATACTGCTCGTACGGTAGAAATTTGTTCAGGTGAATTTTCCAATGCGTACTCAATCCATTTATTCCAAGTTTCTCCAGCTGGGAACTCCTGTACATATCTAGTAAATATCTCCACTACATTATTTTCTTCTTCATACCTAGTTTCAAATCCAATGTATGCATCCCAAGCATTTGATTCTGGATGCCAAGTCAACCATTTCTCAAAAACACTCCTTACCATCTGATAATTCTTTAATGTTTCTTCCGTCTGAACATACAAGAACCATAACTTACTAACACGAGGAAGAATAGTTATGGCTCTCTCTAATAAGTTTCTTGCATGATTGATATTCTTGCCTGCTAATTCCATTTGAATATATTGGATCCAAAATGGAATATGTTGGACATTGACGTCTAATGCTCGTTCCATTATAGATCGTGCTCTGGGATAATCATGATTATGTTCGATCTCCCACCTGGCATAACGTAGCCATTGACCAAAGTTCAATCTATTCTTATTTAATTGTTGTTCATATTCTTTTCGTTTCGTTTGTTGATAAGATCGTAATTCTCCTAGATCTTGGATCGTTTGTTGAGGTCGATTGAATCTCGAGTCTTTGGAGGTGAATGCTTCTTGAAGGATCTGCTTGCTTGTTATCTGAGCAGGTGTTGCTTGAGCTTCCTGCTTATCCATCTGCGTATCCATCTTCAATTAATGAAGGTTGTTGTAGGTGAAGGAAATTTGGCAACAGTTTTTCGCACTTACTTAAATAAGATGAGATGGACACCAAACTATTTGGTACGACTTTATAGAAAGGAATATCAAAATCTGAATTGTTTAAGAGAACTGGGAATGCTTAAAGAAATGAACGTATCTGCTTCAAGAATTACAAGGAGACTTCCTCTGATGAGAAATATAAAAAGTACACCAGCTTACTACAAATGATACAACCATCAGCTACAAAGTAAAATGGTCTAAAATCCTACAGGGATACTCCCATTTCGGTAAAGAACCGTTCCAAACAATAAAAATGTGTATATTCGTTAAAACTCGAGTCAAAAAAATCGATATAGTTTACATGAGTTGGTTCCTTGTGGAACATGGGATGACAAAATATAAGTTTGTCTATGAAATGAAAATGGACAATAAAATTGATCAAATAAATACGGAGGAAGCATCAATATTTCAAAACCTCGTTCACAATTGAATGCAATTGGGGACAGTGTATATGTGGTAATGGAAATGCCGAGTTTTGGCTTAATCCTTGGAAATCAAATTTAAAGGTTGATAGACACGACCAGAGCTTTTATATAAGTCAGCAGCAGTGATACCATTTTGGGTTCTTTCATTTTCCTTCAATTGTTGCATCATTAATCTAGCTCTTTCTCTTTCTTTAGTACCATGGAGACATTCCATATAATCTTCATAATTAGGAGTACATTGCTTACTGTTAACGGTGTCAGCTGAAGTGACACAAGCTAAAAAAGTTTGGAACTCATAGAAGCATCTTCTAGTCCCTCCATTTCTTCCCTGTGGATGCATATTGTGTGGTTTTCTTTTATGTCTTTTAAAACGCTTGGAGTAACAACAACAAACACACTCTGTTTTCCAATATGAGAAATATTTCAAGCTTATTTTTTCATTAACCTAATTGGTTCAATGTCAATTTTTTTTTTTTACAACCACCGGAAAAAAAATGAGATTGAATTTGATCACAAATACACGACCAATTGGTATTTGCAACAACTGTCTTGATGATTACCAAAGGATGTTACGAAGATGTCAGTAATATTCTTTATACATTATATAGGCTACAAAAGTCATTATACGTAAGCCAACATTTCTCTAATGCAGGATTTAACTTCATAATACAAGGGCCCAACATTACCATCTATAATAATATCACCTGAATCATCACTTTCAATGGCACCGTAAGCAACTTTTCTAATGGCCAATTGATCATTCACGACTAAAGTCCCTTCACTTTTGAATTCAGCATTTAGATTCTTACTTTGAAGCTTCTTCCTTAGGTCAGGTAATCTGATATTACCAATTGCCAATTTTGGAGCATTCGATACAAGAGATTTCAATTTTGGATCCCTTAAACGTTGGTTGATTAGATGTCTTCTTTTTGCAACATTTGCTTTGTCTACTTTCTTTAACCGGAATAAAGTTTGTGGATTCACATAATCATTTACGGTCTTTGCTTTCTTTTCTACTGGAAGTTGATTCTGTACTTCCAACTCTCCATATAACTTGGCAACACGATAACTTCCATCAATAGTTTGCCATTCCAAGTCTTTGAGAATTGAATCGTCCAAATTAATCTCAAAATTGTTCAAACCTATACCTCCCGATTCCGTCTCCGTACCTATCCTAATGGGCTTATCGGGAGTGATTTCCAACACATTCATCTTAGAATTACTATAGGATAAGGAACCCGAGAGCCCACTTCTGATTGAAGATATCGATAGAAACCTAGAAGATTGAAACAAATTCTTCTTGCTCTGCTCTTGTGCTTGTTCAGATTGCTGCTGCGAAAAGTATTCTTGAACCTCAGTTAATCCACTTACTTCAGAATCTTTACCACATGTATAGTCAGGAAGTAATAACAAATTATACGGCTTAAGTGCTTGAACAATAATCCCCAATGATCTTAAATCCACCAATCCAGAAAGATCCACAAATGATAACCCACACCTAACTTGAATCTTTTCCCCTTGGGACGCATAGGCGGATGCAGCGGTGAGAGGAACTCTCTTTCTTGGTCTGAACAAGGTATCTAGATTTTTCTGAAGTAATTGTTGATTCACTTGTTCTTGCGGAGTCATTTTATTTTGCTGTTTCTTTTGAACCTTTTTAGGTTGATTCTTCCCCTTCGCCTTTTCTTCATTCCATTTTCGCTTTTCATCAAATTTCTTTTTACCTTCCATAATAATCTTTGCATTCGATGCTTCATCAGACTTTTGGAAGTCCTTGACATCTATAATTTGACCGTAATCATCGAATTTCTCTCTATGTGCAGTAATAAAATATGGAAACATCGCATGCCTAGGTCTTAACTTATGCGTGATTCTGAGATCGATTGGTAAATTGTTTTCAATGCTTTGTTTCACATGATCCATAACAAATGCCTCATGGGCAGCAAGTTCATCCACCACACTCTGATTATCAGTCATAATATTCGATGATTGCACGATAGCGTCAACGGCAGCTTTCGTTTCCTTCTCTTCTTCATCTGATGATTCGCCTTCTTCTTCATCTGAGGAGTCCTCAGCATCAATAGTATCGGCATTTAAAAGGTTCTGATTCTTTTTATCTCGAACTTTGGCAAGCAATTTATCTTTTCTTTGCTTTGTTATCTTCTCTTGGAAATCCGTTAATTCAGATCCTTCAAGATCTTCTTCTCGATTCCAATTTTCTATAGAAACTATTTTTTGTAATGGTACTGCTGTTCCATCTTCAACTTTCCCACCTAACTTTTTCTTCGTCAATTTATACCATTCATTATAAAGCATAGAGTTCAAACCGTCATTAGTACTTGTAAATGTAGATTTTTCTGTTAGAATTATTGTAGTATTTTCATTGTTACATAAATATTGAAAGGCATCTCCAGATATATCCCCATTCCTAATATCGATACCAGCACAAAATACAATTTTAGGTCCACTCAATTGAAGCAATTCATTTGGGTCTAATAAAAGGTCAACTTTTGACGGGTTAAACGGGATCTTTTGAGACTGACCACCATCTCCAGAAGATTCTTCCCATTGTTTAATAAAACTACTACTCATCCAGTCAAGTAAATTAGAAGCATAACTCAATACTTTTGTACCAGAGTAAGAAAGGAAGTATACAGGTATAGGTGCACCTTGTAAATGTTCGTCAATTAAATGAAACAATTCTAAAAACCTACCCGAGAGAGAAGTGGGCATTAACACAGCTCCCCCATTTGCTAGCGTAGCATCAACTAGTTGTAAGAATTTCTCGGTTCTCTTCTTATGCGACATTGTAGATCCTAAATCAGTTGCGGTGATGAAAGCAGTTGGACGCAACAACAGAAGTATAGGATTCCCCGTGGATGAAGATATAAATGATGCACTATTTAAGAATGAATCTTTGGAATGATTCCAGGCGGGAGCATATATAACTTTATCTATTCTCTTTGTAATTAACCAAAATGCACCTCCTAATGAATGCCCGGCGTTATAAGGAGTTATTATAACTTTATTATCCATCAAATTTGTTGACTGTTGATATTTCAATAACGTCACTTTATCGAACCAATTATCCACTTCATCAATTTCGAGAATGGACAGGGATAAAGGACCTAGTATTGCATTAGCACGATAATATTCCACCGTAGAAATCCTTCCTAATTGATTGACTGGCATTGTTGAATAAATTGGAATTGTGGACATTAAACTTGGAAACTTTATACATAATAATACAAAACCACTAATGAAATCAGGAGTTGAATGAGAAAGCAATATAGCATTTATTTCCATAAGATGCTTTTCCATAAATAATACACTGTTGGGATCTTTGCCATCCCATGCTGGGTCAGCTAATATTTTGAATTCATTATCAAAGGATAACAATGCTGCCTTGAACGTCAAATCATTTTCTGATGGCGTTAGCAATGAAAATGAAAACATCTGATCTCTATGCACAATTCAATTGCGAGTTTAGCTGTTAATATAATGTTTATTATCTAGGTTGGCTGCTGATATTCAGTGATGATTGGAAATTGAAATTTGTGTTCTTCGCATCATTGAAAATCTCATTCCCAGAATGAGACATTTCCAAACGACATTCAGAGAACGACATTTTTGTTTCCCAGAGAAGTTGCGTTCAGGTCTCCAAGGTAGAAGCAAAGAGATGGATACAAACTACAAGTCACATTGAAATAAAAAGTTTATTATATAACGGCCCAATAAGAAAGGGATACAAAATAACGAAATAATGCAGATTCTAAATACATATCTATGGTACAAAATCGTAAGGACATGGTAATAAATTAACGATTCAAACTGATACTATTTCTGGTATGATAAGACATCAAGGTTTCAGCTTGTGTTAAACCTGGCAATTCATGAGTAGTGTTAATTCTTTCCAAAGACGTTCTTGCAGTCTTATATTCTCCACTTAAAATCATTTGTTGTCTTAACGTTTCAATATCTATAGGTTTATGGAATTGATCATTCAAAGTATTTCTTCTCGATCTCCGGATGGTATTCTTTCTAGATCTAGGGATTTGAGTATGTCTCTTGATAGTTTTAAATGTCTTTGTTAAAGCATTGTCATCATGATGAGATTTAGTTTCATGTTCCAAAGATGACTGTTCTTCTTGTAAGTGGGACAATAAATCTGGGTCTTTTTCCATAATTTCGGTTAATAATCTATGCTTTTCTACATCTTCAGCATCAGTAGGATCAAATCCTTCAGGGTAATCATCATATTCTCCCATACGAGCTCTTTCTCTAACAATATCAATATCTCTAGGTCTGAAATTGGACATCAAGAAATCATAAACAAATCTAGGCAACAAGCAACAAACAATACCAATGAAAATACAACACCAAACTGCCAAAGTACCTAAAGTTTGGGCACCAGCTTTATAAAATTCTAATGCAGCTGTTGCTCTGGCACTCCAAACTCCAGTCCAGAAATAAACCACCAAAACGGATAAAACATCAATTAATAAAGTTAACCAATCCCATCTCTTTTGTTGTAATAAGACATAGAAGTTACAAGCAGTAACCGAAATACAAGCACAAACCACACCGATCCAAAATCTATGATCAATAGTTAAACCTTGAGGATTTTGGAATGAAAGATAGAATAACAAATAAGGGAAAAAGAATGAAATAACGGATTGGAAAATTCCATCCAACATATACCAACCAAATTTGTACTGGGACCATTCTTGACTAAGAATACCACTACGATACAATTCCGGAACCAATAACGAAACGGTATCGGACACATCTTGATCCAACACTGCCAAAACAATGACAGGTAAGGAAGTAAAAGCCAAGTTATAGAACATAAGGAAGGTATATTCGTAAAGGTATGAACCATCAAAATTATTATAGATACCAAACCAGAACAACGTGAAGGTAAATACCACATTCTTATAGAAAAAACATGGAATCATTTCCGATAATCTTTTATATGACCATCTTCCATGCACCAATAATAATCTTGTCAAAAATCTAAATTGTCCAAGTGCATAATCTGATGACATCACTGCTTGTCGACCTTCTTCACCGGCAATACCGACACCAACATTGGCAGCTTGAATCATAGCGACATCATTAGCACCATCACCAATTGCCAAAGTCATAACACCGAGAGAATCTTTCACCATCTTGACAACGTCTGCCTTTTGGGAAGGAGAAACACGACAACAAAGAACAGATTTACATTGTTTTCCTAATAATAAGAATTTTTCTCTAAGCAATCTCACTTCTTCATTAGGATAATCTGATAAATCTTGAAAGACCAAATGTAAAGCTGCACCATCTATAATTACTGCATAATTAGGATTTGGAGCAGAATGGTCCAACTTGGCTTCTTCTATCAATCTATCAACAGTTGTAGCATCACTAACATCCATCTTGAATTCTTCAAGTAAGTATTTAGAAATGAGTGAATCAATATATTCAACATTATGAATATCATTATCCTCAGGTCTAACAACCAACAATTTCATTTCATTTTCTAACAAATTACACGAAAATCCAATATTGATAGCAGTTTCAATTCTATCACCAGTCAAAACCCATAATTTAATACCCGCCTGACCTAAAATTGCAATCGATTGTGGAACACCAGCTTGCAATCTATCTTCAATAGCAGTACCTCCTAATAAGATCAAGTTTTGTTCAATTTCATCATCCAACTGTGCGATAAGTTCATCACGATCGTCATCAATAGATGAATTTGCTTCTTTGTAACGTTCACTCCAATTAAAGTAAAAATCACGATCCAATTCTCTTTCAGCAATACACAAAGTACGTAAACCTTCATTTGCATAATCTTCCAAATGAAGAGCAGTCTTTGAAATAACATCGTTTGAATTGTGAATAGGATCCAATCTTTGGAAAATAACATTATCTGCACCTTTGGTATATAAAATAATTCTTCCATCGGGAGTTTCAATAATACATGACATTCTCTTTCTTGCAGATGTGAATGGGATTATATCAAGAAGTTCATATTTTTCATCCCTACCATACTTTTGTAATATTAATGACTTTCTCAAACGTTCTTTGAAAACAATACCCAAATCTCTAGCAACCGAAACAAGAGCTGCTTCATCAGGAGATTCTGCTTTGAAGTCACGATAACCTGGTTCATCTTCATTTTCTTCAGTGACAACAGTATGACACAATGCCAAAGCATGCATAAATCTTTCATTGGCAACTTTTTGTTGATCTAAGTCATCATCGACAAATAAGGTATCATTAACGTATTCACTTGAAACAAATGTAACACTTTCTTCATGTAGTTGATCATTTATGAAATATTTGGATAAACCATCAATCATTGCCTCTTTATCGTTTGTAATCTTTTTCCTCCAAACATTTGCCAATTCTATAATATCTAGTCCTGCACGTTTATCTAAACCTTGCTTAGCTTCAGTATATGCCAATCCATAAGATTTTCCATTGATTGTACATTTCTTGAATTCCATGACATTTTGAGTTAATGTACCGGTCTTATCACTAAAGATATATTCAATTTGTCCTAAATCATCAGAAATATTCCAAGCTTTCGGTATACATGGGAAATCTAACTTTGGATAATACATCTTGATATCTGAATAAATGAAAAATGCTTGGAAAGATTTAATAATTTCCACCGAGATATATAAGGAAATTGGAACTAAAGATTGATAAATAATTAATGCGACCCAAAATGCGATAACACCATTAATTGCCGGAGTTGAACCATATGGTTTAAATTCAAAATAGACTCTTGAATTGTTATCCTCTGTATAAAATAAACCATTAATCAAACCAGATACAAAACACATAATAAATAACAAAAGGAAATTGATAATGACCGATAAATTTAATTGACTAGAAATACGGGATTTCTTAGTTGGAGTAACACCTGAATTAAGCATAATTTTTGATTCCGCACCAGTATATACAACTAAACCAATAACCCATTTAGTATTTCTTAATGTACACCCTCTTAATAAAATATTATCTGGAGTGATAGGTTCCTTTTCATCTGCATTTACTAGTCTTCCAACAGCATCATAGTTTTCATAATGAATAGTACCTTTGAATGTATACAAATGAGGATTTGGAGCATCACATTCAACCCAGAATTTAACATCTCCTAAATCATCTGAATGCTTTAAATTATTAGTTCCACCACACTTCAAAGCTGTTTTCATCTTTAAATTAGTTTCCCCATCCAAGTTTTTAGTTTCTACATAACAATTACCTTCTGGGTCGGAATCGGAAATGATAATGACATCAGCAGGAACTTCTTCATTTGCTCTAATTCTAATAATATCACCAACATTGACATCTTTCCAACTTCTATTCTTGAATACTGTCCTTTTGGAATCATCCAAGTTTTGATTTTCTTTCTTTAAAACTGGATTCAATAATGAATTCGGTAAAGCTACGGTTGGACGATGGTGACTTCTTCCTGATTGAATTGATTTTCTAAATCTAGCACTAACCCTACTTGTATCATTACTATATCTTGGCTCAGGTTGGGAATTATATGAATATTCGGAAACAACTGTTGAGACTCTTCTCAATGCATATTCATCTTCATTTACTTGTTGACGTATAAGCTCTTGCTTCTTCTTTTTAGTCCCACAAGTACTAATAAAGCATTTCCTAAGTACTTTATAAGTGGAGCGTAAACCTCTTGTACAAGCCTTCTTGAATCTTCTCCAAGAGCTAACATCGTCAACTTCCACATTTGGATTGTGAGTTCCGCATAATAAATGAATTGGTGAATTATTCAACTCGGAATCACTTACAACTCTTCTATAATCTTCTAAAGCATCTTTAACTGCCGTAATTGTTACAATAACAATAAGAGGAACAGCAGCCAAACCTGGAGAAGGAACACCGAATATTTGAAATGCACCTAAAATGACAAGAACAAGGAAATAAAAATTGGCAACATTTGTGAATTGAAATAATAAATTCTTGGGTATGAATGAAATTGGAGTATATTTAGTAGTTCTAATTTTATTACGTGGATATTTAACTATAGCATGACCTTGTGAGGTCGTCATATCACTTGGTAATTCATGATTGAAATATATCTTTCTGGGCATAGTATTATAAATTTCCTGTAAATAATCAGGACGTGCTGCAAGATCTCTATTATAAAAAAATCGTTGTATTCTTGCTCGTAGGTTAGGTGGTGGTGTATGCAATAAATCATGGGCTGTTTTTCTAGATGAAGTACCACTACCACCGTTACCATTAGTATTACTTCCAGATGAAGTTCCAGTGATACTGCTCTCTTGACCAACTTTTAGCTCTGGATCGGACAGTTCGGGTTTAATATCTGACATATTTATAAATAATCAACGTGGGTATAACCAGTTTATAGATCTATAATAGCAAAACTCCTATGAAATTTAACTTTAAAAGTAAAAAGAACTTTTATCAATTGGAATTAAAAAAAGATGAATGATTAGATAAAATTAAAATGAGATGATTAAAATTGACAGAATGACTGATATTTATTTATATAACCGATTTTTTCTTTTTCTTTTTGAGAGCGTAAGGGCTTATTAGGGGGCAGAGTTGGGAATGAGCTATAAAAAAAAAAAGAACAACAAAGCGGTAGAAGAGGAAGAATAGGGCTGGACAAAATATTTTTTTAAACACTTCGGCCGGATCTCCAAGTGTTTTTAAGGAAGGGCAGGAATAGGATTCTTAACCGGGTTTATACATTTCTATTTAGTCGGGGATTACTTAAAAGAGGCAAAGTAGAACTAAAATTTATAGCTAGTGAAAACTATTGTCGATTTATATTTGTAAAAAGGGAACCAGGCATCACCTGAAGAATAGTTAACGGAAGTTTCAGATTAATCTTTTTCCGAAGAAGTTCTTTTCCTTCCGTATTTCTGAATTTTGAACCCTCAATTTTTTTCTTAACTCTGTGGGAACACTTCCAAAAAACCCTGGGGAACTTTCAATAAGGTCTTTTGATGTGTCAAATATTAATAAGCAGTGACGAAATCAATACAATACAAGTTCAATACAATAATACGAATGTAAATCATTGCCACATTTCGGTATAATCGGCAATTTCATATCTATTGTCACATAAAATTTCAAATTTGACAGGGCAACAGAAAATATAAAAATTACTAATAAATTTTAAAGCCGTTTCCGTGCGAAAAAAATAAACATGTGGGCCGACGAATATATAAAGAGTTCAGCCTCACCAGATTGGAGATGGGGCCTTCTGGGCAGGGACCACAAAATGTAACCTCACTAGACGAAACCTTAAAGTTTAAAACATTTTTATACACTCTGACCCATTCTCAAGATGAATCCGTGTAGATTTATAATTTAAAGAAAAATAACAACCATCAAAGCTTATTTATCACCTGACAAATAAAGCCCTGATAATTGTAGTTCATCTTAATCAATCAATCAATGATTGACATAGAAACAACAATATCATCTAATCCGTAATGAAAAGACTTTTTGTTTTGGCCGACCCACAACATAAGGTTTGATAACTATTAATCACAAAATATTCCAAGGAATATATGTAACTTGTCAGACAGCCACTTATACCCACCCAAAACAAAGTCTTCCGAAGAAGCATAATGAAAAGGGTAAAGATCATCGCTCCTTTTAATAACAACAAATTGTCGAAACAAATGTAATAAAAAAGGCAAATATAAAAGTAGATGACCAGATTGCAAAGAATCACAGTCAAGCTAAATTGTATTCTCACTTTGAGGGTATAAGGGTAATCTCACTCATCAACCAAGTTGGATTCAGTGGCTCTTTTGAAGAGTCAAAGAGGGACGTGACCTATAGAAATGATCCTATGAAGTACGTCGACAGAGAAAAGAAAAAAAGAAGGGAAGAAAAATTGAAAAGAAATTATTGGGATCGATCTGATATTTATAGATCACAGAAAACAAAACACAAAACAAATCCGAACTGAAATTTTTTTTGTGCGATGCGATTGAATCCGGGTAACCACCCGAGTTTTTGCTAACTTTAAATTGATAGACCTAATCACATGACCAAAAAATTATATACAGGAAACCCATAATTTGGAAAATTTTTCGTCGTCGTCGACTTTTCATTCAAGGGAATTTTTCAACCTCTCCAATAGAAATTATCTTCTGTTCTATCTATTGCCCCCCCACTTGAATTCCGAATTCCAATACCAACTAAAACAATGTCTATCGAAGAAATCCCACAAGGTGCTGACATCAACGTCATTCCAAAGAACGAAAAGAAAGCTAGAGAATTAATCAAGAAATTAAACTTGAAACAAATCAAGGGTATTTCTCGTGTTACTTTCAAACAAAGAGGTAACTTAATTTACGCCATTGATGCCCCAGATGTATACAGATCTGCTGCTGGTACTTATGTTGTCTTTGGTGAAGCCAAGGTTGATGACATGAACCAAAGAATGGCTGAAGCTCAAGCTCAAGCTGCTCAACAAGAAGCTTTACAGAAGGCTGCTTCTGATGCTGCTACTGCTGACAAGTCTCCAGAATCTATCACTGCTGATTTAGAAAAGGCTTCTTTAGGTGAAAACAAGGCCGATGAAGCTGATGAAGAAGAAGGTGAAGTTGATGAATCTGGTTTAGATGCCAAGGATATTGAAATTGTTGTTGAACAAACTCAAGTTTCTAGAGCTAAGGCTGTTAAGGCTTTAAGAAAGCATGATGGTGATATGGTCAATGCTATCATGGAATTATCTTAGATTGTAAGGTTAGTTTAGTATAATAAACATTTTATTCCGATTCTCTATTCAAAAAAAACTATAAAAATCATTATCTACGTAATCTTTTTCTCATTCACTTTTCTCAACCGTCGTGTTGCTAGTTGAACCTTCTTCCTTATTAATGCTTGGCGAAGGAGATTTAGCACTAGTGCTAGCAGATGGGGATACAATAGTAGGAATAGCCCCGGCAGACTTCACCAGATTACCGGAATCAGTACGAATCATATTCACCGAATCGGGATCTCCCCCCTCAAATAACATTCCTTTTCCATTCATTTTACCACATTTCCAACATTGATATTTAATATTTACTGGATCGTCAGTATTTGGAGGAGCTAATCCATTATGAGCAAAACAATTATAACAAATCAATGCATATCTCTGTTCCACGGATTCACTATTATCAGATCCGATTAAGATATCTAGTAGTCTATCTTGAATTGTTCTATGACTTGGAGTAATTGGTCGCGCGGATACTGGGGAGATAGCCTGTGGTTGTTGTTGTATTTGGGATTGTGGAGCAAAGTTTCCTAGTTGATTTGGTTGTTTGGGAAGGTTCAATTCTCTCAATGCCTTTTGTTTAAGTGCTTCTTGACGGTTATTTATCTGTGGCTGTGCCTGTTGGATATTCTGGGTTGGTTTTTGAAACTGTGGCTGTTGTATTGATTGCTGCTGTGGAGTTCTTGGTCTAGCTGATCTATCATACTTATTAATCAATTCATTCGTTTTATTGAAATTAGTAATCTCTTTCAATTCTTCAATCTTCTTCTTGTGGTTCTTTTCTAAAGTTTTCAAATATTTGCTTCTACTATCAATGAAAAATTGAAACAAGAACCGTGTCAATCTAATTACAAGAACCGAAATAATTGGATATAATACAAGAATCAAAAGATGCCTCTTGGTTTGTCCTTTTAAGAAGCGCATAAGTCTATTACTCGCCTCAACATCTTTAGGAACAGTAGTATAACAATATGCAAAAATCAAAACATAAATAGATACAAGGTATTGAATCAACAATCGTCTCACATGATTATTTCTTGCTCGAAGTTTGACAATTTGTTGTTTTGTACTGGTGATATTTTCAGTTAAGGTAGTTAAATCCTTTTCAAATGCTTTAGGATCAAATCCTCCTTTACTACCAAAGAGTCCGAATACACCCATAGTTTGTTTTCTATTTTGGAACTGGCTAGTAATTGATGATGATGTATAAGTTATGATTTGATGTGATGTGTGTGTGAGAAATGAAATCAAACAAAAAACTACACGTCAGTAGCAAATTTATTTTTTATGCTTGCCCTTTCGTTACCTTCGCCACTTTGACTTAAAACTCTGCCTTTCCTGCAGTACCGGTTTTAAGACGATTTCCAATCGCAATCGAACGAAAATAGAACGAAGCCCTCCCTAAAAAATTTAATACGAGCCGTGGCGGTCGAACGAGCAGCCTAATCATCACCAGGGGAAAAAAAAAGATTTTCTTTTAAAACAAGTAAGAAAAGCTTAAACAATCAACCCTCCTTCCGTTAACGAGCTTATAATAGCGTTCCCTCAATCTATGTATTGAGATACATTTAAAAGAAATCGCTTAGTTAGAAAATACAAAACAATCAAACATATTCATACCGAGGAAAAGGAGGAATTTAACGAAACTGCATGCCATATACGATAGGTCATAGAAGAGTAACACTTGATTCGGTACTCTTGCTGGAATCAGATAAAGAACTAATACTTCGTCATCGAAAAGTATTTCGGTACTGTCTTAACAATGCAGCTTATAGGTTCTTCATCAACCTTAAAAAAATTATACATCTTTACGGAGATATAATAACAATCTATTCTACCTTGTTAAGAAAAGTTCCAAATTATGATGATATTACCAAGATGACAAATAAATGCAAATTAGCATTATTAAGACTAGAAGAAGATTTTAATGCAATATTTGGTGCAGAAACACGGATTGCTGTATCTGGAAGACAATGGCAAGATAAAAGCTATGAAGCTGTTCAAAGAGTAGCCATATTACTCACTAATTCCACCATTAAAGCATTCGAATATGTGATAAAGAATCTAAATTGCATTGAGATATTTTTCAAACATTATAGTAATTTAAAAAAATTGTTAATTCCTTATCTTGGAGAACAAACTGAATCAATTATGAAATCATTACAGAAATCTTCATCATTATTCCATTATGTTACAATAATTGATCAATTACCTGAAATAGATGAATTAACCGAAATAACAATAAAACAATTGAAAAAAATTGAAAAGATAACCAGTGGAGTAGAAAAGGAAACCATAATTCTCGATCGAGCATTCATTGCATTTGATCCTTCATTAAAGCAATATACAAGTATCTTATTAGGAAAAGCCATCTTAAAACAAGATGTAGCTTTGAGTAGTTGTGAGCTAATCAAACGTAGAGAAGTTTGTTTTCAAGCTGCAGAAAATGTCGTTAGCATACCATTGACAGAGGAGCAACAAGCCAGCCCAATAAAGGACTTTAGCGCATATATAATGTATTCGGTTATGTTCTTAATTGTGTTAATTGGTGTCATTATTTATAGATTATTTAAGGTATTATTTGGATAAAATGAAAAAAAAACATGAATAAAATTAATTTCTTCATACCCATTGATTATCTTCTCTAATTCTAAAATTACTGGGGGATTGAGACACCTCAATGCAAAGAGATAAAGGTCGTTTAATTAACCAACTAAAACTCTTTCATTCTAAATCCGTAGTAACCCTTGTTGACAGATTTCTGTGCATAATGTCTAGAGTTCTTGATGATCACATAGTATCACTCTCCTCCCCGCCACAACCATCAGAAATAAAAACATTGAAAACAAAATTTCATAAACAACAATTTTCTTTTTTTCCTTTCCCTTTCTTGTCTGATTTATTTCAATTCAAAAGATAATCAGCCATCGCCTTTAATCCATCGACTGACAACCTACTCCCGGGCCTAGCCATTGCATCTATAACCATCAATCACGCACTGTTCGCGAATCAATCAAAACACGTCCTAAATTCAATTGTACAGGCGTCATATTTACAAACATCTCCTCGAAACAAATAAGGAGGCCAAGAACAACAAGACACAAGTAGGAAACAGCCGCATCCAATTAAAAGAACACATATGGCAGCATGTCGAATAAACAAATATACTCAGCAACCTATTCCAATGTGCCAGTCTTTGAATTCGTCACGTCCGAAGGACCTATTATGCGTCGAAAATCGGATTCATGGATTAATGCAACTCATATACTAAAAATTGCCAAATTTCCAAAAGCAAAAAGAACAAGAATATTAGAAAAAGACGTGCAATCAAACACTCATGAGAAAGTACAAGGTGGGTATGGGAAATATCAAGGTACTTACGTGCCGTTAGAATTAGGTGAACAAATTGCAAAGAATTTTGGAGTATTTGAAATCTTAAAACCAATATTTGAATTTCAATATATTGAAGGGAAATCAGAAACTCCTCCTCCTGCACCAAAACATAATCATGCCCTGGCATTAAATATCGCAAAAAGACAAGCACAACAGAAACAACAACCACAAGCCAGTACTACCAATAAACGAATAAAGATCGCTCCTGTGCCTTCTTCAAGCACGGGAGAAGGAACAACCACAGCACCTTCAAGTGGAGATGAAAAACCAAAGAAACGTGGAAGACCAAAACGAGTGGCATTGAATCGAGCACCGGCGTCATTAAAACATTCAGATACTATTCCTTTAGAACAACCACAACAATACCGACACGCAGCCACCAAAACTTCATTTATCGGAACCATGCCGATGATTCAACGACAAGATACTGAGCAAGATGCACTTCAATTGATGACAACGAATATGAATCTTAAACAAGGAGATCTTCAAGCTGTGGGCAGTGATGAAGACGACGATGATCATAAAGGAGGAGCTGGAGCAGGGGATGATTTTTTCAGATTGAGAGGAAGGCTCGCGTCACAGAATGGAAATGGCGAATTACCTATTGATTCCCAACCTGATGATTTATTGACTAGTAGGGAGTTATTTGGAGTATCTCGAGAATCATTTGAAAAAGTTAGAAATCCGTTCGTGGTCAAGAATGAAGAGAAGTATGGAGGAATACATCAATATCGACAACCAAGTATAGGTAGTCTTCCAAGTACTTCTGTTGATGCTCTGATGTATTCTGAATATTTCAGTAATTTGGTGAATTATTTCCTTGAAGAAGATAATAATACCAACAAGATACGACCCAATTCAATTCCAGAAAAATTATTAAATCCTCCATTACCTTTATCCAAAATACATATCAATCAACCAATAGACAATGATGGAAATACGATATTTCATTGGGCATGTTCAATGGCTAATATACCGATTGTTGAATTTTTGCTAAATACGTTTCTGGATTCAATTAATGCAGAAATGAGGAATAATAATGGGGAAACGGCATTGATGTTTTTAGTTCGTTTTAATAATTCATACCAATTACGGAACTTCCCTTTGGTTTTACAATTATTGTTAGAATCGGTTCTTTTGGTGGATAGTCAAGGAAAAACTGTTCTTCATCATATTGTCCAAATTGATAAAGATCAACATAAAAACACCAAGAAACGGGAAAAGTTTTCACGATATTATATGGAATCATTATTTGATAAGATTATCGAAAGTACTGAAGATGAAGAAGATACTGAACGTGAGGATAAGAAACTGGAATTGATTGCTAAATTTATAAATCATCAAGATTGTGAAGGAAATACTGCATTCCATATCGCGGCATATAATTTGAATTTGAAATGTATTAAAGTGTTTATTAGTTATCATCGATATATTAATTTTGGCTTGCGGAATTTGGTTTCATGTACTGTGGAGGATTATTTGGCGTCGCATAATTATGTACTAAGATTAGACGATGAAGAACAAGAAGGCAAAGGAGGATTAGCTGGCGGAGGAGTGGATGGGGATAAGAATGTGGATATTTTGGTGTCTACCGGAGAAAATGGATTTCAATCACATCAATCATTTGAAACTCAATTGTATAATTCGAAACTTGCATTGAATTTACAGAATACAACGTCAAATTTAATCACCGAGAAAATGACACAATTGGCATATACTATAGATAAAGAATTAAGTGAAAAGGATGAGGTGATATTAACATATTTCAAGATTCTCAAGAAGGTAAATCAAGATAAATTGGCATCACAAAGGAAACTCCTATCATTCTTCAATTTAGATTATTTGATTGATGACTTGGATACGACGAATCGTTCAGAACCAAATAGTCAAGAATCTAATGTTTCCGCGTCACAGACCCAAGACTTATCTATTGATTTTTCAAAAGATAAGATAATCCAAGAGGAAATATATCGATTAATCAATGATTTAACTTATCAATATTTACAAAAAGAAAATGAATTTGATAATCTAATGAAATCTTATAAAGTGACCAATGAGAAAGTAGTTCAAGCGACATTGGCGAAGATTGGTCCTAACATGGATGACGGAGAGATCAAAGAAGATCAATTTACGTTAATGACTCAATTACAAGAACTGATACTCAAGAGAAGAACATTAATGAATAAGATCTATAAATACGAAATGAATGTGCCTACATTAGATGAAGGAAAGGAAAACAAAGCAGAAGACTCGCAAGTGGATCAACAACAGCAGCAGCAACATCAGCTGTTGATTTCCAAATATGGAAGCAATGACAAATTAACGAAGTATTGTAAATTGATTGCATTGTGTTGTGGGATGAGTACTGATGAAGTTGAGAATTCGATAGATTTGATTGAACAATCTTTAGTTGACACTAAAAAGAAATAAAAAACAGGACCATGACAGGAGCGCAGAAACAGAGACAGAGAAAGGCGCAGGATTCTTATTTAAATTGTATTATATTTTGTAGTAGTAATTAGTAACTAGAATTCATACAACGATTGTAATTACACGGAAACCAGGGAATGACGAAATATGGGGTATATGGGGTATGTAGTACTTGTATGCGAAATTAAGTGCCTCTAACCTATCGTGAAGCCAATTAAGGGCTCACAAGGAGTGTACTATAAGAAGACATTACAGTGTAAATTTAGGGTTGTTTCAAATCATGCATTGTTTTGCAGCATGTGCAAATATGTATGTCACAATCTAAGGCGAGCTTTTGGTCGTAAAGTAAACTAGATGTTTGAAACGAACAAAAAAGATCCAAGGTGTTCTTTGCTGACCTTTGCATATGACATATGTACATGTATCTGTATGTAGTTCATTTTAGCAACCAAATCAAGGCTTCAATTTGGCAATAGAAAAGCTGTTCCAAATAATTAGATTATTGGCAAAACATTTAACAGAAAGTACAAATATGCCAGGCAGAAGATACGACTATAGGGGTCCTGGTGGCGGCGATATTTGTATAGTACCGAATACCAACAAAGCCCTCTTTTTACACTCTCGCCTGTCACACGATATTTGGGCAACGCGTATTTTTTAGAAAGCTACACAAAAACGAAGACACAATCCAGTGCCAAGAATTAGCAACCAACATTTCGATGAACAAAATGACTGTATTCGAAGAGAAACACGTAACCAATACAATATCTTTTGAGCATAGACAATATTTGTTCCGCGGAAACAATGGGCACGCGAGAGTATGTTTCCACAAATTACGTGGGATTGGGTACGATTTGTCTTCTCTGTTGTAGTTTGGGTGGGTCGTATTTTAAACAATCAACTTGTTCAATGGCAACGATATCAAGAACAAGAAAGTTTAACCTTTTTGTGACTCCAGCAAATTTCATGAGAGAGTATTTAAATACAGAAATCTTGTGTGAGGTGGTGTTGTTTCGTTCCTCTTCAGACAAGATTGGAAACATAAAATAGCAGAATGAGGTTTGACAGTATTCAAGAATCAATACACCAAGTTATATACTTGGCTCCTGCTTGACATTTTGCACACGCATTGGAGTTACGTCAGATATGCATAGCAATTGTGGTTGACTTGAAAGCGACTGTAACATCTTTTTCACGCGGTGTTCCGCCTGACAAAGATAAATACCTGAGATTTTCCCCTTTCTTTGAAATTAGAATCTGAAAGGAAGAAAATCGAGTACGTTCTCAAGAAAAAAGTTCTCACAATATACATACATACACCCAACATTCAGTTCCCTTGCTAGAGCTAACGCGTATCCACTACTCAATCAAGTTAACTTTTTTCGACTGAACATTCACCACACCACTCTTATATCCTTTTAGTATTTTAACTTATTGAATTGATTTGAGTTACAAAAATAGATTTGAAAATAAAAAAAAAAAAATATTTTTATTAATTAAATTAATTAATTTAAAAAATTGTAACAAAAATAAATTTGAAATTTTACATTTGTACCAAATTCGTTTAGAATAAGAGAGTGGGCTTGGAAAGGATTCTTTTTTTTTTTTGTTGTTTTCCTTTGAATTATAGCTTTTTCAACAAGGGATAATTCAACGTATCTAATACATACTTTAACTAAGTTTAGTTAATTATAAAAGTTGTTCATTACGCACCAAACGACAACAACAAGAACAACAACAACAACGACAACAACAACAGCCCAAAAAAATTTTTTTTTTTCTAGAATTCTTGCATAATTTAGCACCTTCTTTAACTTCCAATCCTTACCTAAAAAAAAGTTTAATTTTCCACAAGTTCTTTTGATCCAGTTTTACCATTCAAATAGATCAAACCAAAAGACAACAACTTAATACGGACCACCACACCCTCAGCCGCTTCTCTACCACTATGAATGTATCAAGCGGTCTTCCTTTGGGTAGGAAATACTCCAAATTAGTACTCCTATGTGCAGGATTTATACTAGGCGTACTTTTCTTTATAAATACACCAGGTCAATTTACAACATTCAACTTTATATCATCATCAGCATCTTCAGCACATAGTAAACATCAACCAAAGTATCAAATAAGTCCGGAATTTCAAGAAAAATTGAAAAATTTAGCATCATTTGATAAAGTAATGTCATTCCCTTTATCAACCCAATCCATGGATGGTGAATATACACCAGTTAGTCTCAAAACTTATACTGATCCATTTTCATACATAAATGATAAACCAAGCGATTATGAATTTAATGAAAATGATATGTGTAGAAATATCAAGTTTGAAGAACGATTTGAAGTCTCAAAACAACTTTATTTAGATGCATCTCATGAATCATTTTTAATCGAATTAAATAAGCATAAAGAATTTGCCGACTTAATCGAGACTGCTAGAAGGAAGTTTAAACCTACCATTCCAGAGGATAAACAATGGTTCAGATTTGGGGGATCTTCTGTATGGTTACCACAATATAATTGTCATTATATGGTTAGTAGAGTCTTGTATACCCCTTCTGGTATTGCCAACAAGGCATTTGCAAGTTTCCTTTATATTCAATTATTTGATCAAGATTGGCGTGAATTACCTCCAAAGACTTTAGATATTCCATATGAAGAAAATGTCGTTAAAAAGGTTTTAAATTCTGACGGAACCTTTGATGAAATTGTCATGGATAAGATCTTGAAGTTTAGACAACAAACATTCCCACAAGTTCTTCCTATTCAATTTGATTATATGATGCATGTGGCTAACGACAAATATTATTATGGACCAGAAGATCCTCGTATCATGTTACGTAGAAATCCTTTAGGTTTCGATGAACCTTTAATTGTGTTTAATATGAAAGATTTACAAATTGTTAAAAGAGTTATGCATTTATATTTACCATTTTCCCATAATTTAAAGATTTTACGTAAGAGATCAGAAAAGTTTGCTAATATAGAAAAAAATTGGACTCCATTTATAAGTAAAGCAAAACCAATAAATCAAATTGATTCAAAAGGGGATGTGAACATAAATTTCATTTATTCAATACTTCCTCTTGAAGTTTTAGTTTGTGATATTGATACTGCCGTTTGTGACTTCTTGCAACGTCCAATAAAAGAAGATTATGATTATATTGGACCGTTAAGAGGTGGATCTCAATTAATTCCACTTCCAATAAGTGATATAATACCAGATACAATAAAAGAAAAATTCACCCTTCCACCAAATCGTCAAATCTATATAGGTTGGGCAAGAGCACATCTTAATGATTGTGGATGTGGTGAATCTATGTATAGACCAAACTTGATTATTCTTGTCGAAGATTATGATCCTACCAATGATAAATTCTACTATAAATTAGGAGATGTTTCCGAATACTTTGATTTTAGAGCTACTGTTCCACCTTGGATTATTCCTAAATTAGATGAGAAAGGTACTCTTATTGAAGAGGCTAAACCAAAACAATGTGAAGGTAGAAATGTCCTCATTCCAAATTCTATTGCTTATTGGGACATTGGATCTATTATTAAAGATGGTACATTATATTATAGACAATATTTCCCAAATATTCCAACAGATGAAGAAATTGCTGATAAGAAGGCAGCCAAAGTTATCAAACAAAAAGCTGGTGGTATTTTCAAAAAACGTGAAACCTCCAAACGATCCAATATTTTCGGAGAAGTTATTTTTAATGATTATATGGGTGTTACCCTTTCAGCTGCCGATAAAGATGTTAGTATTGTTCATGTTAAAGGGTTATTGAACTATATCTTACAATTACCTGCCTTATTTGAAGATAGTTCAGTTATTGATAACCCTTCACTCTTCCAACAACGTGGTTTTGATTTTAACAATAAATGTGCTATGATTGCCAGTTATGGATATTGTCAGGATTATGGTAGGCAACACGGTGCCGCGTAAAGAGAAGGACAGTGATAAGTTTTACCACTACTCCGTTTTCTTATCTCAGAAGTTTATAGATTTTTAAAATTAATTTTAGATTGCTTTCTTACTTTGTATCATTTCTTGTAAAACCAAAAAAAAAATTGCATAATGTTTATTATTACCCATGAATAACCGTAGTCTTTCCTATGGCATTTTTGATACCCGTTGTGGATCTCTTCTCTCTCGGCTTGTGAAATTATTTTGCAATTGTGATCAGTTTCAAACCACATCGATAACCGGACGCTTGTAAATGTCAAGATTTGTATTGATGTATGGATGTAATATTCTTGTCCGTGGATTACCGAGATGCCAAATCAGGAAGAAAAATTTTCCTCGATGTTGCAAAAATATTGTCTCCGAACAAATATTTTTGGTGTCCGTGCGCGTCTAAGCGTCAATTTGACGCCAATAACCGAGATCCATTTCGTATATTGAAAAATTTGATTCAAACCTCCGTGGGTTTGATGCCACACGCTTGGGTCTATATATAGCCAACCGACTTCCCAAACTTCCATGTTAAAAAATTTTCTCTCTCTGTAAAAAATCACTACCTTTTATTCTCTCGTTATTTTAAATTCTTCAAAATGTCAGACAAAGAAAAGGAAGAAGCTCGTGAACAATATTTATCTACTTCGTCTTCAAATGAAACAGACGAAATCTTAACCTTCACCAGGTCTCACTATGAGCAACATATCCAACCACAACTCCAACAAGGACGTCGAGGTTCACATGTATCTACCACCATCAGAAAATCTTTCGAATCAATACGGAAGAACATATCAGGCCAATACTCATCATCCCAAACCGATAATGAAAACAACGACGACTATTCAGTTCATCACATATACGGAGATTTAGATAGTAATGCAATCGCATTACAAAGAACCAACACCCGAGTCACCATTTTAACCGAATTGGCCTCCCGTATTGAACATCCAGCCGATTATATCGATTCCGAAGACATCGAAAAACAATTAGCCAGGGATACTATTCCAGGTATAGTTCATGACGGGGAAGAATTTCATAAGATTGATCCGGAATTAATCACTTGGAATGGGAATCATGATCCAGAAGATCCACGGAATTGGCCAACTAGGACCAAAGTTGTTCTAATTGGGTTCGTGTCTTTGTATGCGTTAGTTGCGCCTATGTCTTCGTCTATATTATCTCCAGCTATGAGTTTTATTTCGGAGGATTTTCATATTGAATCGAGTATAATGAAGGCAATGGTTGTTTCGATCCAGATTTTGGCTTGGGCATTTGGTCCACTTTTGATTGCTCCATTGAGTGAACATGATAATATTGGAAGGAAATTGGTATTGGATGTGAGTTGTTGGATGTCATTTTTGTTTAATATTGGATGTGCATTTTCTCAAAATACGGGACAAATGATGGTGTTTAGATTTATTGGAGGGTTGTTTGGTTGTGTGCCTATGAATGTTTGTGCTGGGGTTATTTCTGATTTATATGATGCAAAGAGTAGAAATGTTGCTTTGGCTAGTTATTCTTTGGTTCCTATCTTAGGTCCAGTTATTGCTCCTGTTATAGCTGGATTTATTGTTGAACATAAACAATGGAGATGGGTATTTTATGTGTTATGTATGTTTAATGGATTTGTTGCTCTTGCTGCTACATTTTTATTCAAAGAAACTTATTCTCCAACCTTGTTGAAACGCAAGGCCAAGAAGCTAAGAAAAGAAACTGGTAATGGTAACTTACACACCATTTATGAGATAGCTGATGGTGATTCAACAGCAACAAAGATGTACTTATGTATGACCAGACCAATTAAATTATTATTTACCCATCCAATGATTGTTGGATTAGGTTCATTTATGGCATTTACTTATGGATTCATGTATCTCATGATTGTCACATTCCCACAAATCTTCGGACAAGTGTACGGTTTTAGTAAAAGTATTACCGGGTTAATGTATATTCCAATGGGTATTGGATTTACTGCCGGGGTTATATTTTGGACATATATGATTGGGAGAGTTTACAACAATTTAACCGAAAAGAATCATGGCATTGGAAAACCAGAGTACCGTTTGCCTTGTCTCATTGCTTGTTCATTATTTATTCCAATTGGACTTATTTGGTTTGGATGGTCAGCTGAAAAACAATTACATTGGATAATGCCAGCTATTGGAAGCGCAATTTTCAGTTTTGGATTAGTCTGTGTATTCCAAACTACCCAAAGTTACTTAATTGATATGAATGTAAGATATGCAGCTAGTTCAGTCGCTGCCGCTGCCTTATTTAGATCTTTGTTTGGATTTAGTTTCCCATTATTTGCTAATTTGATGTATGCTAAATTAGGTTATGGCTGGGCCAATACTATGTGTGCATTTATTGGTATAATTTTGGGAGTTCCATTTCCAATCTTCTGTTATTTGTATGGGGAAAGAATTAGAAATTGGGCTGATAACAGAATTGAAGCTGAACAAATTAGAAGAGATCAAAGAAAGATAGAAAAAGCTGCTAGAAAGAAGCAGATGATTTAATATACCAATATAGATATATATTTATTTAATTTTATAGACTAGAAAGACAATAATAGACTTTAATATTTAATTTGGAACATTTGAACGGGCGCTGTAAATTAACTTGTAGTTTTGTACGGGACTCGTTTGAACTGTGGGGCGAAAAAAAAAGTTGCTGAAGCGAAACTTCTAGGGAGGCAATTTACAAACACAGTTTTACTAGGGACATTCATCATTATAATGACAGACATAACAATCACTCCAACTAAGATTGAGGACATTAATCATCATATCAACAAGCTTAGTATAAACGAACTTAAGCCACTTCCATTACCTAAGAATCTTGAATTATTACCCAATCGTAGTTTTGAAGAATTCGTCAATGACAAGGAGTTAGTTCAAGGTTATGTTAAACAATTAGATACATATAAGAAAGAGCAAGAAGAATTGCTTAAGCAATTGTCTACTATAGATCATTTACTTCTGAATGAAATAAGTCAACTAATAAAAAACTATAAAGAAGTTACTAATAAGATTCTTCAACAAATTCAAAGTATTCAAATTATATATCAAGAATTTTTAAATTTAGAGACTTATCAATATCAAATGTTATCAAGTAATTATAATCAACAAACGTTAAAGAATAAATTCAAGTTATTAATAGAACAAAACAATCAAGAAAGTCTCCAATTGATTAAACAATTAGAAACTTCGTCCAAACCAGAATTGAATGAAAGTGAATTTGCCCAATTTATCGATGATTTCAGATCAAGTAGAAAAGAATATCATTATAGAAAAGAGAAATTAAATAGATGGAATGAAGAAAGAGTCAGTGGATTCTTGTAGGTGATCAAAGAACATGCGATTGGTGTATGATTGGAATTAATTAGCATTTTGCACGGGATAATCCGCGACAATTTATACCCACATTTAGAACCACAATTGCCAGGTTTTCCCGCGAGATTTTTGTACCTTTATTTTTCTTTCTACTTCGGGGACCCGTTTAAAAGTTATTTTACTACGAGAATTTCAAAATGTGTGAGTCAAAAAAATTGACACTCGCCGTTTTTTCTATAGTGGGAAAAGAGGGGAAAATGCGAAAATCAAAAAAAGCCCGCACGATGATTCTGGATTTAAGAGTGTAAATACTGGACGAAGGGAACTGAAAATTTTTATGATAATCACATTCGGAGTAATGGAAGGTATAGCGAGGCGAGTTTAAGGGTTTGCTGCAAAGGGACCAGGTTTAAAGTTTTGTTGGAATACGAGTACGTCAGGTTTAAGGTTTTGCCTGTTAAGGTACGACGAACCGTTTAAGCCATTACGCTCGTTGGTTAATCAAATGTGTGTTTATGATTTGTTTCGATTGGTTCCATTCAAATCAGAAAAAAAAAACGGTTAGATGAATTCCACTCGGAGAAGTTTTTAGTTTTGTGTACTTATGTCCATCGAACCGCTTCTTAACCACAGCATTTTATTGAAAGTAAATTTTCTTCAGTGTAGATTTTTCAAGGAACTTGCGGTCGAGTTAGTTTATGTTTTCAAAATCCGAGGGATTTACTTTTAAAGTTCTTAAACCCCAGAAGATCTTTTAACAGGAACTGTAGGAGGGTATGTGTATAGTGTAAGTATAGAAATTGACACAAATCCAAGGCTAATTAAAAAAAAAGATTTTCGGTGTAACCAACTCCGATCAGATTCAACCTTCTTCTGTGTATCTTTCATTTTAGTGACTGAAAAATTGAAAATTAATTTTCCTTCAACGGTTTAATTTTATTTAGAGTTTTATCAAAAATTTGAAACATTTAAATTGCTATAAAAGACATTGTTAATTCCCTCCCTTTTTTTTTCTTTGAATCTAAAAATTTCATTTAAATTTTGACAGATTTCATTCATCCTTTTCTTTCTTCCTTCAATTGCTTAGTTTTTAAATACTTTATTCTTTTTTAAGCAATGATTGGTAGAATTGGAGCTAAAAGATTCTTGTCTCAATCAAGAAGACTTCTCAATGAAGTTCCAAAAGTAAATCCAATTCCAAAGAAAACTGGATTTTTCAAGAAATTCATTAGATACACAATTGGTGCTACTGCCTTAGCAACTTTTGGTTCTGTTGGTTTTGTTGGTTATAAAATTTATGAAGAATCGGTTCCAGCTAATCAAATTAAACAATCTCCAGTTTTCCCAAATGGTGAAAAGAAAAAGACTTTAGTCATTTTAGGTTCTGGTTGGGGTTCAATTTCATTATTAAAGAATTTAGATACTACCTTATATAATGTTGTTGTCGTTTCTCCAAGAAATTACTTCCTTTTCACTCCATTATTACCTTCTGTCCCAACCGGTACTGTTGAATTAAGATCCATTATTGAACCAGTTAGATCTATTACTAGAAGATTACCTGGTGAAGTTATCTACTTAGAAGCCGAAGCTACTGACATTGATCCAAAGAATAACCAAATTACTATCAAACAATCTACTACTGTCCATTCTGGTCATTCCGGTAAAGATACCTCTTCTTCCAAATCTACTGTTACTGAATATACTGGTGTTGATGAAATTACAACTACCTTAAATTATGATTATCTTGTTGTCGGTGTTGGTGCTCAACCATCCACTTTTGGTATTCCAGGTGTTGCTGAAAACTCTACTTTCTTAAAGGAAGTCTCTGATGCTGCTGCTATCAGAAGAAGATTAATGGATGCTATTGAAGCTGCTAACATCTTACCAAAGGGTGATCCAGAAAGAAAGAGATTATTACACGTTGTTGTCTGTGGTGGTGGTCCAACTGGTGTTGAAGCCGCTGGTGAAATCCAAGATTACATTGACCAAGATTTAAGAAAATGGGTTCCAGAAGTTGTTGATGAATTGAAGGTTACCTTAGTTGAAGCTTTACCAAATGTCTTAAACTCTTTCTCTAAACCATTAGTTGAATATACCAAGCAAGTCTTTAAGGAAACTAACATTAACTTAATGACTAACACTATGGTTAAGAAAGTCGACGGTAAAACCGTTACTGCTACTCACAAGAATGAAGACGGAACCACTGAAAACCTTGAAATTCCCTACGGTATGTTAATTTGGGCCACTGGTAATGCTCCAAGAGATTTCACTCGTGATTTAATGTCTAAGATTGACGAACAAAAGAATGCTAGAAGAGGCTTATTAGTCGATGAAAGATTACATTTAGATGGTTCTGACAATATCTTCGCCCTTGGAGATTGTACTTTCACTAAATATCCACCAACTGCTCAAGTTGCTTTCCAAGAAGGTCAATACTTAGCTGAATACTTGAGTAAATTACATAATGTTGAAGCCCTTAAATACAGAATTTCAAACCCAACTGATAAGGACAATGTTGACAAATTATTTAAGAAATTAGAAAGAGCCGAATCCAAATTGCCAGTCTTTGTTTACAACTACCAAGGTTCCTTAGCTTATATTGGTTCCGAAAAGGCTGTTGCTGATTTAGTATGGGGTGATTGGTCTAACATTACATCCGGTGGTAACTTCACCTTCTTATTCTGGAGATCTGCTTATATCTACATGTGTCTTTCTGTCAGAAACCAATGTTTGGTTATCTTGGATTGGCTTAAGGTTTCCATGTTTGGAAGAGATTGTTCTAAGGAATAGATAACTTTCCAACTAGGAGAGTTTATTTTGTACTTTTATCACATTTCATTTCTTATTTGATTTTCTATTTATTTAGAGATAACTTTAATTGTAATATATTTTGGAATTTTATTTGACTTCCATATTTGTAGTGTGTAGAATCCCGGAGATGACACGAGAATTTCCGGTAAGGTGGACGCGACTTCTTGCGAAGAAGGTGATAACGGTTACAATAATATTTTACTATTGTCTTAATGTGTAAGTCGATTATTCAAAGCATGACCGTTACAAATTCTCCATTGTGTGGTATTAGAGATTTATTTTCTAACGGCTGTGTTTTGGAATCTTCAATCTCTTTTGGCAGCACCAAAATAATTTTCAATACCAAAGAAAAATTGGTTGCAAAAAAACACAAAGTTGGATTTTTACTAAACCTAAATCTAAAGAGTAAACGAAATGTCAAGTAAAGTTCACCACTTCAATATTACCAAGTACTCCATCTACAAGGATAACCAAGCTTGGTTTCATTATCCCCAACGTTCTGAAATTTCAATCAATTTCTTAACATTAGAAGATATCTCAGATGAAGTCAACGTCACCATTTTATGGAGAGGCACCACAATTGTATGAGTTTACCACTTTATACTTACGAAAGAATTTTTACTAACTTTATCAGGATAAATTTAAGCTTTTCATCACAGAAAAGTGTTATACTTCCTTGCTTTCAAAATGTCCTTGTCTTGGAGTCAAACAATGTGATGCTTATGGTAGAATTCTCAAACGATTTCAAATCAGTTTGGAGAATGAACAAGCATTTAAAGAATGTCTTAAACTTCTAGAGAATGAATTTTTATTTAGAAACGGAGCACCAAAGGGAGATTCAGCTCACCCTTTAACAACCTCAGGAAGCCAACAATTATTTTCTAGTCAACAATTGGTTGCAAGCCAACGTCCTGTTGCGAGTCAACAATTGGTTGCAAGTCAACATCCCGTTGCAAACCAACTGCAAATCATTGATTATACAAGCCAGTTAACAGAACCTCAATCCATAATGCATCGAGGATATACAATGTATCCGAATCTTGTTCGAAATTGTCAACCTGTCCATACATTTCCAACCTCCTCAATATATGCAAGTCAACAAGATCTTTCATATCCTTTGGAAACATCAACAGCAAAACCAATTCGCCAACCAATCAACATGTTCCCTTTGGAATATACCAATTTGACCGAGAAAATCGTTCTTCCACCTAAAGACCTAGACGACTTAAAAAAGTTGACCGATAATGAGCTACGTAGACTCATCAGAAGCACATTAGAAGACAAAGAATTTGAAAATTTCATTCATCGATTAGAAAATATTATATCTGGTCTATAAAAGCTACAAAGATCTATAATTGAGAATAATTATACACTTTATTCCACTTTTTAATCATTAACCCATCACTTAATTGATGCTCTTCAGCTATTAACTCATATTTCCCAATCCAGGGGAAGAATCTAAATTTGAAATACCAAAATGAAATACATGCTAAAATACAAATAGTACCCACAACACCATATGAAGGCCAATTTTCAAGTCCCTTTGGGTTTGGACTATGCTTTGATATGAATGGGCCAATGATTAAATAAAGACTAACCAAGAAAACCAAAACTGTGCCAACTACACCGGCTCTAATTGGAGCACGTAAATCTGGATGTCTCTTTCTAACAATAAATATCCCTATAGCTATTAATGCAATTGCAAGTTGTTGGGGATATCCTTCCAAAGCCACCATATAGTTATAAACATCTCCATGGGGGAATAACACTAGAATACTTGTAGTTATGCTAATACTCAACAATAATGTCCGCAAAGGCGCACCAAATGGCCAATTGGATGACATGAATTTCGAGAACGGTAAATATCCCTCACGAAATACTTCTTGAGATACTCTGGAGATAGTGTAGATCACGACAAATATATTTCCACCAGCACATAATGCAACTGAGAAGGTTAATAATTGTTGTCCGATAGCTTTCCCAAAGATCTTCTCGAAAAGAATTGCACCTACAAGGGTATGACTATTAACTAATTCTTCTTCTGGGATTACTATCAAATAGGCCAAGTTGGTGATAAAATAAGTTACTGCCATTATGCCTAATGATACTGGCCCTGCGATTTTGAAAGTACGAACAGGATCCTTGATCTCGTTTGAAACTGTATGAACTGAATTCCAACCACTGAATGCAAACGATGCTTTGATTACCGCACTTGCAAAAGTGGAAACGCTTGCTTGTGTCTTAATTGCGAATAATTTTGAAGTATCAATTTGGTTTTCAAGTCCAGTCATGGACGAGGGAAATACCGCCACATAAATTCCTGTTGCTACCATTATACCCACAAGCACTAGTTTAAGTGCACCTAATATATTTTGCACCCTCACCCCGTGATTCACACTCACTCCATGGATCCCAGCTGCTAGATATAAGAATAAAAGTCCAGTTGTCCTGGTATTGAAATCAGTTGGAGTAATACCAACAGCATGAATACAATATTCACCAAATACCAACACGTTGGATATCGTGAAACCAAACATAACTGAATAAACCGAGAATGCCACAGTAGCCAATAGTTCGGGTGTTGTATATATAAATTCCAAAAATACTTTAGCTCCGCCACTTCTCGGTACTAAAGATCCCATTTCTAAAAATACATAGAGACCACCGAATGATGCAACACATGCAACGAACCATGCAAGAAAGAATAAAAACACTGATCTACCACAATCCTCATATATACCACTTGTAATACTAAAGATCCCACTACCAAGAATACGTGAAACGAATAATATAATCGTGGAAAACAATCCTAAATGTCGTCCTTGAGGGAGATCCTCGAGATCTTGCAAGTGTGAGATCTTTGAGGTGGGTTCGAATGTAATACTGGAGCTTGAATCATCTATTATTGATACTGTGGTTGCTGTATCGGAGATTTTGACATATTCTGATTTATCTATATTCTCCATTTCGATATCTTCCGTTTGACGTTTAGCTGGATCGTCCAATGAAGATGACGAAGGAACAGCTGTTATTGGTGAGTCTAAAGTTGGTGAAGAAATATGTGGCTCGTTGATCATTGCATCTTATTGATTGATTTTTTTGTTGCAATTTATATTTGCTGTGGATATGAGAGGGGGGACAGACAAGGAGGTGGGTAGTACAATTTCTACAAAAGATAGATAAGGAATGAATTTAGTAATTTGTTACACACAAATTGTCATATTACGTATTTGTTTTTCGGCTGTGGCTTTTTTCGGAAGTTTATTTTTTTCTTTTGCATTTGACAAATTGATAACTAATAAACTTGTCATAAGTGACTTGGCTGCAAAAAATACTTACGGATTAGTACCTGTAGATCTCTAGATGCTCAAAGGGCCAGACAACTTAGATTAGTAATAACGAAAACAGAAAAATCTCAGATACTTCACAGTTATTTGTACCAATATATTTAGTTGACATAATTTAGAAAGTGCACATCGCTTAAATTACTCTTCTCAGCCCACCAAGAGGTGATTGCAAATATTTGCTTTGATACAAAAAACAAAAAAAATCTATTAAACTGTTTTAAACAATATATAACTAACTATCTTTATTTCCTAAATTGAGAATTCTTCTTTTTAATAAATGACTCTTTAGCCAATTTTAATAAAGAATCCAATTCACCACTGTTTTCACACATACTATAGAACAACGAATCCTTATTGGTAAGTAAGACAAATGGACTGTCATATTCAACAACTCTACCAGCATCCATAACCAAGATTTTATCATAATCTATAATCGTTCTTAATCTATGAGCAATAGTTAAAATAGTTGCATTACCAAATTCTTCTCTGATTGTTTGTTGAATTAATGCATCAGATTTATAATCAATTGAACTAGTTGCTTCATCTAATAAGATAACCTTTGGATTCTTTAAAAGAGATCTGGCAAGACAAACCAATTGACGTTCACCTTGGGATAAGTTCCCACCACCTTCAGTAATTGGATTGTCAAGATCAAAGAACTTGTTTTGATTTTCATTAGCATCGTTGGATGATGAAGGTTGCTCATTTGGTGAAATTAAATTGACTCTTCTCAAAGCTTCAAACATTTGTACATCAGTGAATTGTTCAAATGGATCTAAATTAGATCTGATCGTACCAACAAACAATGTAGGATCCTGTGGAATAATTGTAATTGCTTGACGTAAATTCTTTAAACCAATAGAGTTAATTTCAACACCATCAATCGTTATACTACCAGTTTCTGGATCTAAGAAACGGAAAAATGCAGTGATAATAGTTGATTTACCAGCACCAGTTCTTCCCACAACACCAACTTTATGACAGGGTTCAACTTCAAATGAAACATTCTTAATAACTCTAGGCAATTCAGGTGCATACCTTAATGAAACATCCTTCACTGAAATCCTACCTTCTTCTGGCCAAGTTGGTCTTGGTTCTGTTTCCTTGATTTCATAAGGTGGTTCTTGTTCAACTTTAAGGAATTCTTGTAATCTTTCCACCGAGTTCATATTCATTTCAACTGTGGCATATAATCTCACAACCCAAAGTGCACTTTCGGAGAATGCAATAGCATAAGATAAAGATAAACCAGCTAACCCGGCATCGATTCTACCGACTGAGACCAATACAAAGATACCCGAGAATAACATAACCATCGAACCAACCGCATCAACTCGGAATGAAAGCCATCTATTAGCAACCCACAAGTAGAAGAATGGACGACTGTTTTGATCAATTGCTTTTAAGTTTTGTTTCATAAATCTAGACTCAATACCGTAAGCACGAATAGTAGCCACACCAGCAAGCGATTCGGAGAAATGTTGATGGATTGGAGATTTTGTGATGGAATCATATCTTTGCAATTCACGGGATAATGACAAATAGAAGAAACCAACAAGATAGTAAAGGAAAGAAATAACGACCGCAAAAACCAAGAACCCTGGAGTAATGAAAGTAATTAATACCAAAGTAGACAAACATTGAATGATACAAATAAAAGCACCTTCTGCAAATGGAGTTAAGTCTTGATCAACAGCTTCCATATCTTTGGAGAACCTATTCATAATACGACCTAATGGAGTCTTGTCAAAGAATCTTAATTTTGCATGTAAAATATTCTGTAACACTTTTTCAAACATTCTATTGGAAGCATTAACACCAGTATTGAAAACAACAAAAACTCTGAAACTTGCAGTGAAAGCATATCCAATACCAATTGCACCATAAATGGTAATGTAATAAAGTGTTGTATGTGTTTCTTTATAAGCAGTAACAGTAGCGACAGAACTAGCAAACAACCTGGTTACACCTGAAAATGTTCTAACAAAGGTTGATTGCTGTAATTGACTAACATCATAGCTTGTTCCAATAGAAGCCATAGCTAATTGGGTTAAATTTTCACTGCTTGTTGACCAAATCTTCAACCACCATGTTTGATACATGTAAACACCCTGAGAAGCAATGAAACAGAATATCAATAAACTCCAAACTGGGAAACCACCGAATAATTTAGCATATCCCAAATAAACTTCAGATCCAACGACACCTTCAGCTTTACCTTCTTCTTCAACAAGCTTACCATCAGTTTTAGCCATCACTTCTTCTTGTTCACCACCCAAAGCTTTCAATTTTGTTTCAATGGCAGCAGCTTTAGCCTTCATCTTCTCATTCTTGTCTTCCAATGATTGTAAATTAACCAGAGATTGATTACGGGAACTAGCAATAGAACTTGCAACCAAGTCATCATCTCCTAAATCACCACTAGCCAATAAATCTTCAGGTAAACCTTGATTCTTAACTCTACCATTTTCTAAAGCAACAACCCAAGCAGCATTCTGAACAGTTAATGCAACATTATGAGAAACCAAAAGACAAGTTCTGCCTTCCATCAAAGGTCCACAAATACAATTTTCATAAATCCATAAAGCAGTATGTGAATCAACAGCAGATAAACAATCATCTAATAATAAATGTTTAGAACTAGAATATAAGGCTCTTGCTAATGAAACTCTTTGTTTTTGACCACCGGATAATGTGATTCCCTTTTCACCAACTTCAGTCTCATCACCTGCACTCAAAATTTGGAAGTCACGAGTTAATCCACATGCATCTACAACTTTGTCATAACGTTCTTGATTGAAATGAGCACCAAAGGTAATATTGTTCTTAATAGTATCATTTAACAACCAAGCCGATTGGGAACAGTAGGCAATAGATTCAGTTAATCCAGTTTCAGGATCAGCAACCAAGTCATCACGAGGAATTGCTCCAGGAAGGAAAATTTTACCACCCAATAATTGCATTTCTCCTAATAAACCCATTAAAAGAGATGTTTTCCCACAACCAGTAGGACCAATAATCACGTTCAATTTTCCAACCTTGAAATCAATACTCATGTCACGCAATTGGAAATCAGTCTTAGATTGAGGATTCCAGGATAAAGTAGCATTCTGGAATCCGATATATGGATCATTTGGACCTGGAGTATTACCTAGTTGATCATATTTGGATGTTTCTGGTTCATCTAAGAAATCGGCAACTCTATCAAGGGAGACTTTAGATTGAATAATTAAGGAAGCCATATCAGCTAATTGATCCAATGGCGCTCTCAATAATGTGAATAATGATAATGCAGTGAAAGCAATTGGCACTTCCAAAGTGTTTCCATCAATAATAGTATAGCAGTAGAACGAAAATAACGTAACTAAAGTAGGAGTGATAAACCAGACAAAAGCAGAAGCACACCAGACAGCGCATCTAAATCTCAAATAATATATTTCTTCTTTTCTGATATCCATAATATTTTCATAAAACTTAGATTCCCATGCAAAGAATTTCACAATTCTAATACTTTGGAAAGTTTCATTTAATTTTTGGATTCTCTTATCAGTGACGCCTAACATTTTCTTTTGTAAATTACCTAACCAACGGGCTAAACTGAAAGAAACTGGCAACAATACAATAATTGTAAAGGAACCAACAAGTGCACTCCAACCAAGAAGACCATACAATAATACAGTACAGATAATGATCATCAAGATTGCACTAACGAAGAAATGCAAATATCCACAAGCTTCAGAAACCTTAAATGCATCAATAGCCATCAAGTTAATAATTGCACCCAATTCTGCAGTCTTTTTTGATTCTTTAACTCCATTGGTTTTAGAACTAGCGTCTGTTTCTTCTCCAGTTTTCTTGTCATCTTCAACATTGCCCTTTTCGGAAGTAGTTTCAGTAACAGTGATTTTTCTTCTCAATGCTTTTGCATAAACTTCACCAATAATGATTGCTTTCATTCTGACGCAAACTCTTCTACCTAAAAATAACGAGCAACCTGACGAAATAGAATCTGACATTTTTACCAAAGGCATCAATAACACAAAAGTCCATGCCAAATTCTTTGGGAAAACTTCAGGATCAGCAACATATTCCAAAACTTTCTTTAATAAAAGCGAAGGTCCAAAAATTAACACCGAGTCCAACATTGCCCAAAATGCTTGTGCTGCAAAAAGTAATTTAAAATGTACAAATAATTTGGAAGTGAATTTCAAAGTAGACTTACTTGCTTCAAATCCTTTAAGGATATAAAGTGAATAATCATCCTCTCTTAGGGCCCAAATATCTACATTCTTCAAAGGAGACTTGTAAGATTTCCAAACCATGCTATTTAACCAACTGTATGAAATGAATGAAGCAATACTTGAAACATTTTCTGGGGAAGGTTCCGCACCTGGAGTAACATACAATTGAGATGGCTTGTCCCCAACGGTGGCAGTCATGTTCAAGTATAATAAGATGGCATTGATGATAAACTCAATAATGTAATATTCACGTACTTGAGCCGAGTAACGGGGATTAACTAAGGCTGACCTAAAGGTAATTGCACTTGGGAAGAAAGTGAAGAAATATAAAGTAGTTGAATGAACCCATAAGTTTGGTAATCTGATTGCCACTCTCTTCAAATTGATGATTCTGAATGTACATATAATGAACAAATATAACCAAAACAACGATTGAACTAAAGGAATCAATGGCTGGTTCTTAAACTCTCGATGTATGGCGTTTAAAACAAAGGGAGACAAATGAAGACCCAACGAGATTATTATTAACCCATATTCCATACAGACACGTAATCGTTCCCAGACATCTTTATATACTGACTTGCGGTAACCATGTGGGGTTCCATCTATATTTGTTTCAGGCAAACGGGCAATATCAAAGTGAAGCCTCTTAAGTTCTTCCTTGGATAAGTTTGAGTAATCAGTTGAACCATATTCATTATTTGCAGATAAGAGAGGTTGTGATTCTGGGGAATCTTCTGGTTGCAACAACAGATAACCTTTCTTAGATCGTTTGGAATATGATATGAAAGACTTTGATAAAAGTACAGCGAATGATATGGAGCCTAGCACGGCTGGAGGATATAACGAAAGGTAATACTTTGCACAGGTAGTGATATCGTCATAATGCCACCAGGCACATTGTTGACTTTCCATGTTGACGAATGTAATTAAAATGCTTTTAATAGTGTGTTAATAAGTTAATAAATAAGTAGCAATTATTTCACGTATAGATAGCCGGTTGTAAAAAAGTACCAAAAACGTGTAGAAAGCTCTAAATTAGTTCAAAATTGAAAATTGAAAATTCTGGGCTACTCAAGAGTTTATATATAGAATATATCTGTAAGTATCGACTCCTTTCAATACCAGATTTGTGTTTTGATTTCAACAATGACTCTTTTCTTTCTATTGTCATAAACAATCCTTGTTGAATCCAAAGAGATGAGAATAATCTGAATAAAAAAAATATTATTTTAAATTTAGATTTTTTTCGATCGGGGGGATGCGGCCAGACAAAAAAAGGATTAATTACGAGAGTGGCATAGGATCAATCATACGTCATTATGCACATCGGTTGGTCATGCCTTCCGTATTGAATCTATAAAGGTACTAGACCATTGCAATTCTACAAGCCTTCTCAATATAAGTATATCAAATGTCGCTAAGATAATGTTGGAAGTGTATCCCTCCACCGATCATTTTCAGTTGGTCAAACGGCATGAAAAATTTCATGAACTAAAATTTCACAAAATAGTACTGCAGGCTAACCAAATTTTACTTTGTTCCATTAAAAACGGAATTAGTCACCAATGTTTATGTTTATCCTTTCTTTTCTAAGCTCGTTTATACTTGTGCTTACTCGGCGTATACTGTGGGTGGGGCATGAAATTCATTCGTTGCCAAATCCACTTTGACGCCTTTTGACCATAACTTTGAATGCAGCTTGCTTAATGCACAGGATGTGATCTGATAAGAGATTATGATTCGTTTAAAATGCCATGAATCCGAAATAATCATCCCTACCCAATAAACGTTCAACTCTCATTTCATTTCACCATATTTTGTTCAGATCCAATTGATTGCAAATTATGTCAAAAAAAGAAAAATCTCAAAGAAAGATGCTTGGCAGCTGGCAGAGGACACAAGAACCGAAACGTCTTGGGGGGATCTCAATCATACGGAAATGTAAGGAACCAATGTTTTAACTTCCTTGGGTGTTTGATAAATGGGTATAATACCGATATACGTGTTTTTCAGCAAAGCAATTTGTAAAATTTTTGGGTGCAAAATTGCACAAAAAAATAGAGTTTCATACAAACTAATAAAATTTTTATATTCTAGTCATCAAGAAAGAACAATTCAATTAAGAACTCCTTTCTTGGAATAACTTCTTCTACACAAATACTATATAGTAAAAAAATAATATTCAAAACATAATTCTTCAAGTGTAAAAAGTAATGAAGACAGCATTATGAGGACAAAGATGTCTGAAATGAACTCATAAAGGGTAAAAACAAAAATCAATAAAAAGTAAAACAATACTCATAAACACGGTGAATGGAAGCTACACAGATCTCATTCATGTAGCAAAATAGAACTAAAGACCTGCCAAAAATTTCCACTTGCTTCTCTTCCGGCATTCTCTATTCCTCTTGAGCTTCTTCACCACTACCTTCTTCGTCATGGTGTTCTTCATCTTCACCTTCCTTTGGAACTCTGGCATCAATAGCAATATCAACAATAATATTTCTACCATTGAGTTCAGTACCATTGAATTGTTCAACAGCCTTCTTTTGAGTTTCTTCATCAATGAATTTAACAAAAGCAATTCCCTTATTGAAAGGATGTCTTCTAGCACCACCACGGTTTAAGAGATGTCTAGCAACTCTTCTAGTTGGAACATGAATCCATTTTGGTTTCAAATCTTTAAAGAGTTCACTTAAGGTCTTAACATTGACACGATAATCTAAGTTAGTAATGAAAATAGTGTCCTTTGAAGGAGTTCCTTCTGGGGTCTTTTCTCCATCTTCACCAGCAGCAATTCTTTCTTCTCTTCTCTTTTGAGCTTCTTTTCTCTTTTCTTCACGTTCCTTCAAATATTCTTCACGTTTAATCTTAAAAGCTTCAGCTCTTTCTTTCTTTTCTTCTTCAGTTGGAGGTGGAACGGCCTTCTTGATGAAGATGTTACGTCTTTGGAATTTCTTGCCATTGTAGTCTTCAATTGCCTTATCAGCATCTTCTTTACTTTCAAATTGAACAAAAGCAAACCCTAAATGTCTCTTGAAAGTATTTTCACCACGGACAGTTTCTTTAAAAGGAATTTCAACTTCGGTGCTATAGTAATTGGATGTTAGTATCAAATGTATTGTTAAATTTCAAAATTTTGCGCTTTTTTGTGCACATGGTAGCACTATTATTATAATGGCGCAATCTTTGCAAAAAAAGCCTGCTTTCTCTTCCAATCATCAAATGGCAAAGTCACAAGATGACTCACCCCATTGACTAGGAGACCATAACTCAAATAAAGCGACAATCATCAAGGTAAGAAGTATACATACACACTTAAGCCCTCGAATAATTCCTTCAATTCATCTTCAGTAGCTTTAAAATCGACATTACCGACATAAATTCTGTCTTCAATGACTGGTTTGGATTGAGTTTCGTTTTCGTCTGTCATTTTCTAATTTAACTTGGTTTCTTGTATTTTCAATTGATTGATTCAAATTCAAGTATTTATCTTTTAATCTCGAGGATTGTTTGTTTACTTTGTATATTCTTGTATTTATTTTATTTCAAATTATTTGACACTTTTCTCCTTTTCTTTAAGTAAGTTCACGTATCAATTTCTTCAATCTATAGTTTGTTGTTGTTTTCAAAAAGGGATATTTTATTCTCTTCTCCTTTGATTTGATAAATTCAATTAGTTTTTAATTCTCTTTCTTAGTTTCAAAAAGTAAAAAGGTGGTAAAAAAGTGAATGTGGATTTTTTTGATTTTTAAAAAGGGGGTGAGCGAAAAAAAATTCAAAATCAAAAATAATTTCAGGCAAGCGAGGTAGAACTTTCCAGGCCCCTTCGACTTACAACAAGGACCCACACCAGAAAAAATAATATTCTGGTACCCTGATATGGATCTCCATTTACTTGACAAATTCTTTTACTGACAAATTTCCGTAGCATCTTCTTAAGTGTTCTGGAAATTTCTAAAAACTGACCATTTGAGAATCTCACATCAAACCGACCTCAATTGCATCCCCAATGGTTCGTCTGGGACCACTATAAACTTTCTACCACGCATCTCGCTTGTCGCGATTATTAGAAGAAGAATCGAAATATGGCAAGTGATAAAGTATCAGAACTACACGCATATGAAAACTCGTTACGCTCAAAAGGTCATGACAGTAGAATTGCCAGCCTTCCGATCATTGCAAGAGATGAAATCAGTTTCTGATAGAAATATCGAGATCTCTTATTAAGTGCTTTTATGGTTTGAAAATTCTGTAAATATATAGATACAAGAAGGCATACACGATTTGACTCTACATCACGATCACAAAACAAATCATGTACCGTATCTGCCACTTCTCTACTTCCCTCTCATGTTTTTAAAAATCTGTCAAAATGCTATAATAGTTTTTTATTTTTCTTCTATTTGATGACAAGAATATATAATTCCCTTTCCAACAAATATAAATAACCTAAAAAAAAATCAAACGAAATATGATGATGCCTTATATTTATTGTCAAAAAGATCATTTTCTCCTAATTAACCAAAATAAAGAAAAACGGGGCGAATACTTGTGTACATGATATGAAATAAATGTGTATTTATAATAACTTAAACAAAAATCAATCTGCTTATTTCAACTTGTGGAATAATCTTGGAGCAACACAATCATTAATACAATGTTCCAAGTGGAAGAATTCTTCAACACAATCTTCCTTATAATCCTTGGAGTGGTAATCATCTTCTTCTTGTTGTTTAAGGACTTTTTCAACACAATGTTGGAAATGATGGTCGAATGGATGACAAGCTGGAGTGTTCTTACATTCTTCTCTTAAAGCATCCATAGGATCAGCTTGTTCTTCTTCTTCTTCATCTTCGTCTTCTTCTTCTTCTTCAGCAGCAACTGAGTCTTCAACATCTTCTGCCTATTAAAAAAAATAATTTTAGTTAGTATTTTATTGCATTTAAAACCTTCGATTGAGATCGGAAATTTGACATACTTCTTCAGCGTGAGCAGTTGGAACAACGGCTTCTATTAAATCTCTTAAGAATTGCATTTCGCTGTGTAATGATTGTATGATCTGCTTATTAATTTGGAGTAGTTTGTAAGGCACAATTTTTTTTTTCAATAATTTATTTAAATTTTTCGAACTTTCCAGTTTGCAATCTTACTTAAACCGAAAAGTAAATTGTTTTATTGGTTGGAAAAGAAAAGTAAAAAAATATTCAAGTCACGTGCGCAAGGTCATGTGATTTACGTGCGGCTTGTAAATCAATTTTGCAGTCTATCACCTCAAGGGCCATAAATTATTGTCTACAAAGTTAGAACCGTTTACGAATAAATACTTTACTTTTTCCATGATTTTATATATTAAAATGACATCAAACTAAACTTACAAACGTACAAATATACTTTACAAAATGTGCAAATTTATAAAACTTAGTTAACGGAACCAGCAGCAGCGGCAGCCTTAGCTCTCTTGGCGATCTTGTCGTTAGCCTTAGAACCCATGATACCACCACCCCAGTGTCTTCTGTTATCTTCGTATTTTTCAATGAAGTTAGCGTTGATGGTAGAAACTAACTTAGATAATTCAGCTTCATCAGCAGAGTTAACTTCAGTTAAAGCAGCAACGGCAGAGTTCTTCTTGTGGACTAAAGTACCTAATCTAGCCTTACCCTTTACAATAGCGTATGGGACACCCATCTTCTTACATAAAGCTGGTAAGAAAACAACTAATTCAATTGGGTCAACATCGTTGGCAATTAAAACTAACTTAGCCTTCTTGTTTTCAACTAAAGAGACAACGTGGTTTAAACCGTACTTGATGACAACTGGCTTTGGAGAGACATCCTTAGCGGTCTTACCTTCAGCAATAGCAGCGGCTTCCTTGGTTAATCTTTCCTTCTTTTCAGCAACAGTTTCTGGTCTGTACTTGTTGAATAATTTGAAAGCTTGAGCAGCAGTGTTCTTGTCTAAAGTGTTAGAGAATTGAGCAATGGTTGGAGGAACCTTTAATCTTAAAGACAAGATTTTCTTTTGTCTTTGTAATCTAACGTATTCTGGCCATTTGACGAATCTAGATAAGTTTCTCTTTGGTTGGATGGCTTGACCAATACCGAAGTTCTTTGGGGTAGAGTCCAATAATGGGTTCTTAGCAGCAGTGGTCTTGGTAGACTTGGTGGCTAATGGAGCTGGGGCAACTTTCTTTCCTTTTGGGGCCATTTTTAGATGTTGGAACAGGTGTTAACGAAGAAGGACAATAACAGTAATAATAACTCTTCTTGAAAAAAATTTCTAGTGATACAGTAAGAGAGTGAGAAAGCGCACTGTTTCTTAGAAAAATTTTCCATGTCGTGAATAATGTCGTTGTGAATGAGAATACCGACATTATTTCTAGACCTAAACCTGGTCACGTGAATTTGTGACTGCTTTTTTTTTTCTCACTGTGTGCAAAATTCTGCGATTGAACTACTTTTCAAAGGGTTATACACAGAACTCTACCAATAATATGAAAAATAAAATAAATACTGTACATTTTCAACGTACTACTTCCAACCCCTCCTATATAGCTAACTAAAAGAACACCCAAAATATAAAATAAAAAAGTAATATACATACAAAGAAATAAAAAGATAATAAACTAGCATCAAAAATAAGCAAACGTGTAATCATCGTGCTGAAAGCAACCTAAAACTTGTACTTTTCATAGAATTTGCAGCAATTAAAAAAACAACATAAAAATAAAAAACTTAATAAAAACTTTCTAAGATGAATCAACCCATCTTGGATTACACCAACCCTTAACCGTAAACTGTGTTCTCGTAACTCCAGAATTTGGAGCTTCACCATTAAATTCACATTTCCCATGAGGTAATATTCCTGCGGGTCTTATACTTGATTTCGTCATATTTGAATCCCAAGGTAAATATTTCCCCAGTCTTCTAATAAGTGAATAAGATTCTTTCTCCGGAATATTAGAATCTTGTTTCGATTTATCATCTCCCAGATCTTCATCTGATGTGTCTGATGATGCATATATATAACAACTTCCGTCAATGCCCAAACTTGGAGTTTCATCACTTCTTGGTGGTAAAATAACATTAGTCCATAATTTATCTCTTGACATATTTGAAACTCTATACATATTGTATTGATAATGGAATTGTCTCAAGGATGGAGTTGAATGTATCAAACGGACCAATTCTTCTTGAGTTGGATTGGCAGGTAATGTATTGGTCTTAACTCTTGCATTATAATCATGGGCATACATTCTCAAGAATTCTGAATTTATTCTTTGGTCACGATTCTTGAATGTTGGTTTACAATGAGGTTCTAACCAGGTTGGAACATTTGGATCTATTGAATTGTCATTAAATGTAACTAATTCTTGAGATGGCAATATATTTGCATCGTTTGGAGAAGGATAATCATGCTTATGGTGGATTTCACGGGGCATGAGTGTTACTGGTAATTTATCATCGGTTAATCTTGGAGATTCCATGAATATTCTAACGAAATTATCCTTGTTGTGAGAGAACTTAGTTTTCCAATTCTTGATAGATGAGGTCAAATTGGAGTATAAGGATGGTTTGTTCTTCGATGGACTAGACTTCTTTAGTATCTGCTGTAAACAATCAGTTGATGTAGATTTCGAAAGGGGTGCTGAAATACATGTTGGTAATTGTTCATTAGTAACAGGTGAACAAGATGGAGACGATGGAATAACACAACACACACTAGATTGTCTTGTGGTTGCTAGCGTTGGGAGGGTTGATAAGCTATCAAGTGTGCTTGTAGATGATAAAGTAGATAATGAGCTTGATCTATTGGATGGTATACTTATCACAGAGCTGGATCTGGGGGACATATATGAATAGTGATCATTGTTGAATGAATGATATGAGAAGATATCATTTGAAGTATTACATGGTTGCTTTCTTTCATAAGCACTTAGTATTTCATTTGGCGAGTTGAGTGATGAATTTGAAGATTGTGATACAAAGGATAAGTCGTCAGAACAAGAATCAAATGTATATTCATCAATGTTGTCATCGTCATCGATATCGGAATCTTGGTCTTCTATTTGATTGAGATTTAATGGATGTGATGTTTGGTTATGTTTGCCTGATTTTATTGAATGGATATTGAATGACTTCTTAACATTAAGTTGTTTCTTTGAAGTAGTACGTGTGAGCACTGGTTTAATACATTGTTTGAGATTATGCAAATGTATGGGTTTTTTGCTGTGGCCACTTGAGTTTTTGTTGTTGTTATTGTTGTTGCTTGGTATTACTATTGGATTGATAAAGTTTATCGTACTATTGTACGAAGGAGGATGCGCTATGTTTACAGCCATTCTTAATTATGTATATATATGGTTCTTGATAAGATGAATAAGTGGTACTCAATTATTTTGACATAATAAAACGTGTAACTTTCAATCAATCAGTAATGGTTGTTCGTGCTGTAGATTAAAGTATTCTTACAATAAGAAAAAATCTAGTACTGCGCGATGGTTTAAATCCCCTTTGTGATACAATTGGGTTAAAATGGACTTTGGTTAACCTGTAATATGATGCAATAATTGACGAATGTATCTTCACTGAAATAAACTCCAATGTAAAAACCAGTAAACAGAAAGCAAAAGAAAACAAGCTGTAAAAACTAAAGGGAGAGAGAGAGAGAGAGAGAGAAGAGGGAAAACTTTAAATAAATAAAATTTTGACTCGAAAGTGAAAGGGAGTGAAATAAATATAATTGGAGCAAAAAAGCAAAGAAAATTTAAATAAATTAAAAATTAAAATAAAAAAAAAATTGACAGAACATTTAAAAAAAAAATAAAAACTAAAAAGAAGGAAAAAGACTAAAAACACACACACAAAAACAGAATTGTCATCGTTTCGTATAAATGGATTATTTTTTAATTTGTTAATCCTCAAAATCCTCCATTGTTTGTAGTTACATTCACTAACGGGGTCTTGCGTTGTAAAGCCTTGGGTTGTATCATTCATTCTACCTTGTAATTATTCATTACCCCAAGAACATACACTGTACTTAATCTGGATGTGCTAATGAAATTTGGGTTATGTAACAAGGATAAACCTTCGAAGGAGAAAAAAAGTCACAACCATTTTTTTTCTTTTTCACCCTAATTTCTCGTGGTACATGAATCTGGATGGAATTTTCTTGGAGAAAAGTTCTTTTATACAAATTAAGGCAAAACGACACAACTGTGGATTACGGGATTTTGTTTGCCGTGGCAATTTTAGAAGAATCTGGTGACTAAATACAACAAGATGGTACATCCCCAAAGTAAAGACGTGACGATCTCTTGGTAAGATCACCCCGCGTCTTGTGGTGGCACAAAACTTTTTTAAAACCTAAATGACATGTAAGTCGCGCTAAATTATTTTATGTTCCATGGAGATGTCAGTCACCATGTAAAGATGCACCCCGGAAACCAATATTATATACTGATTGAATTTTCTTGTAAAATTTAAATGACATGTAATTACTTACTATGACTTTGTGAGTTGAATTTCCCAACAATTTCAAAAGAAAAGGTTGGTGAAGGCAAAGAAAAATAAAACTCCAAATTTACAAAAAAAAACCTCCAAAATAAAATTGCAAAAAAGAAAAAGCCTAATCAATGGGATCGAATAGATCTAGATTGGTCTATTCCCCTAAATTATAAATAATCAGTATATAACAATCCTTCATCGTATTTAAATGGTAATTCATTTCACAAGATGCCTTAACCAATAATAGAACGTTAAATTCAATCGTCTGACCGTTTGTCCCTTTGTTCTATGCGACTCCTAATTATTAATTATTAATTAGACCTCGTGTGCTTAAAATCCCAATTAGCAAATACTCGAAAAATATTAGCAATTTATTTTTGTGCAAGTTGCTGCTGTAAAAAATAACCGATTTATTATTACCGATCCCACCAAAAAAATATATCCAAAAGTACACGACTTATCGAATGATAACGATTATTTTATTTTCTTAGTTGCAGCCGATTCTAGATTTATCAACAGCCGCTAAAAAAGGTAGACAAGAATACTGATACCTATCGTTTTTGATTACTACTATATCCCATTTATAACTATACTACATCTATAACATTCGCCTTGTTTCTTCTTCAATATGATCCAATTCTATTCCTCTCAAATCGCCATCAGTCTCTTCTAATTTATTGTAATCCCCAGCCTTTCGGTTGTTGTAACTTTGATTCCCACCAAAACTTGTCATCATCCTTCGTAAGACATTGGTATCCAGATAGAATTCCTCAAATACAATCTCAATTTCTTCTAATTCAATTCCTTTTGTTTCGGGATAAAACATCATCACCACAAAAATACTAATAATACAGGAAACTGCCGGATATAAATACATTTTCCAACCAATATCCTCTTTCAAAATCGGTGCCAATAACCCAACAACGAAATTACTTAACCAATTGGTGGAAACTGCAAGCGATACGCCTTTTGCACGTACTGATAAGGGATAAACTTCAGGTGGAATAAGGAATCCAATTGGTCCCCAACTATATCCAAACCCTGCGTTGTAGGTAATGACAAGAATTGCCACGAGAGATGGGGTGTATGATTGATCTAAATACATGACAGTTGCAATTAAGAATAAACATACACCCATTGCTGCACCTCCAGTTATCAATATCGGCTTTCGACCCCATCTGTCAACTAGGAACCAAGGTATGAGTGTGGATAATAAATAGACAATTGCGTTTATACCAGTCATCAATAGGGCATTGGCATTATTGAATCCCGCTTGTTCAAATACCAAGGGAGCATAATATGAAATGATATTAATTCCATTGAATTGGGCAAAAAATAACGCTGAGCATCCAATACCAACACGAACAATATAATTCTTAAATAAATGTTTCCAAGATCTCTGTGATTTCGGAGTGGTTTTACGTTCAAGTAATATTGAATTCTTAATAACAAAGAATTCCAGCTGGGGTTTATTACTATTTGGATGCGAGTCATATAACAAGGCAAGGACATGAAACCCTTGTTGATCCATATCATTATCCAATAACCATCTAGGAGATTCAACAACAAAAAACCCTCCAAGGAATAACACAAATGCTAGAGCGACTTGAATAAATAACGGCAATCTCCAACTCAATTGAGCAAAGAAAGAATGCGGCTCAGTTCTCGCATCTCCAATATCTTGAATGAAATAACAGAAATAATCAGTCCAAACACTCAAAACATACCCAGCTACATTTCCAGTAAATTCCCCACAAACCAATTTCCCTCTTTCTTCACTCGGACTAATCTCGCATTGATATGAAGGCACGATTGTTGACAAAATCCCAACACCAATCCCAGAAAACACTCTCCCAATAGCAAACACTACAATATTGGGACAGAATGACTGCAAAGTCCCACCAAATATAAAAATCGCCGTTCCGATCAATATAGTTCTCTTCCTACCCCAAGAATCCAGAATTTTGGCAACTAGTAATGAACTTATCATTGCACCGATTTCCAACACGGAAATCAAAACTCCAATAGCAGTAGCACTAGGATTGTTGAAATATCCATTAAATGTATCATATGTGAGTATGCCTGAGCATACTCCTTGTTCATATCCAAATAAACTGACGAATAAACTAACGAATGCCGATGTGAAATACACTAATCTGGTTCCTTTGAATTTGAGTTTGGAGGTGTATAGTTTATTATTGAAGTCGATATGGGTGTAGGAGTTTCCAAAATCATCTATGTATGAATCTTCCAGTTGTAATAAGGAGGACGGGGTTTCTTGTTTGCTGCGGAAAGGTAAGTCTTTGGGGTCTATAAATGGATCATCGTAATCTCGGTTTTCTGGCTCTATGAAGGTAGGTATTGAAGAAGATGACATCCAAGGTTCCTCTTGAGTTCGTTTAGATGACATTTCGTTTGACATAATAGTTATTTAGTGCATTTGGGTTAATGTTTCTGAATGGTGGATATGTATCAAATAATTTAATGTTTCCGATAGAATGTGGTGTTTTCCAATTTTTCTGTTGGAAAAAGCTATGACGTAATCTCCCATTGTTTTATTGTAGGCAAGTTTAAAGTCGTGCAAGTTTCAGTAAAATATGGTTTATCGCCTCGTATTGGTTGCATGTGCATCTTGCTTTGTAGTGAGTAATAAGATTGTACACTAAGTTGGACCAAATATGGCACGAGTTGGAAAAAGAGTAATGAAAACGCCAATGAATTTAATTGATTCAATAAAATGTATATTATCTCCTCTTATCCACGTTGAATAGATCCAACCTCCAACTATGATGACATTCAAAGAGGTTCTATGTCTAGGTATCAATAAATTGTACAAAGTCTGAAAGGCAGGGAAATTGCAGAGTACATTTTGTGATTTGCAATCAATTTACGGTTCTAAAATTAGATTTAAAATGTCAAAAAAATATTTTGCAGCAAAAAACCTTAGAGAACCAAGCAAAATGGATTAAACTCAGGACTTTTTAGATCAACCGATTGCCAATATAAAATTATATTTCAAGCACTCCAGTTACAGTAATGGATTACAGTAGAGGAATAAAAAATGAGTCTTCTTTGTGTGACTTATCTCTCTAACCTACGTGGTCAGGCGATATCAATTTGCTGACATCAAAATGTAATCTAGTCTAAAGATCATATATTTCTATATACAATATTAATTACAAAACTATACACTTTCAACTCACTCTCTATTGTTTATTTCTTTTTAAATAACTTTCAATGTAGAAAGCAGCAAATAAGGCAGTCAATGGAGCCAAATATGCAACATTTAAAATGACAGGCAATGCTTGATCAGGAGTGCTGACACAATTAACCAAAGTCAAGCTGTCAGATGGACCCATACTAGTATCAATAATGTAAACGAATGAGTGCAAGACAGCAAATGAACCACCAACAATGAATTGAGTAATTTGTAAAGAAGTCAATATTCTCTTAAAGATAATTGGGACTCTAATACGTAAACAACTCAAGGAGAAATAAAAGTACATCAAAGAATGAATGAAGGAATTGAAAACAACAAAGATCCAAATTGGTGGAGATTGGAATCTAATACCTGCCCACATACACATCATTGCACCAGCATGATGATAACTTTGTAATAATGATGATGGTCTACCTTTCAACAAAATAACGATAGTGTCGAGAACTTCATAAAATTTAGAAATGTAAAACCAGTATCCAAAGAGTTCTAAATTAGGGCGACCTTCCTTAGTAATGATACTGGAGAAGATACCTTTATTTGAATCACAAATGGTGTGGAAAAAGATATCTCTTTTCTTGACAGTGTAATTTTCGAGGTTCAAGGCTTCATAAAATGATGGTAAAATGTCTCCCTTAAATAAATCCATGGTAGAAAAAATTGAAGAAGTCATACCCACAAAGGTCCAAACTGAGTAAACACATAAAAAGACATTGTGTAATAATACAAGGGCCTTGAAAATGGAAGTTGTAGCAATAGCATAAGGAGCAGCTGGCAATTTCTTCAATTCCTTTTCAGTAAGCTTCTTGTCTTTTGCTTCAGGATTCTTTTCACGATACTTACGTAATTGTCTTTGTCTAATAATTGGATTAAGATAATGGACAGTAGTGAAATAAACAATAGCAATAGTCAAAGGAGTGGACACCTTCATAGTAAGATTGAACATTTGAGTAAGGAACTCATTTTCAAATGGAGATTCGGGAACAGGGGTGTCTAATGTAGGTAATGTCCATACACCTGATTGTGGAAATCCAAACTTAATTAACATCTTGATAAGGTACCTAGAAACTGTAAGCGATTACTGAAGAAGGAAGAAAGGAAGAAAGGAAAAAGATAAAAAAAGGGAGACTAAAAAAACATCTCCATGAAATTTGATTTCATTGTAGTGGCTGATGTGGACCCCCCGACGATTCCTACCGTATTGTTCTCGAAAATTTATTTAACGGAAAAATAAAATTGCTTTTTGAAAACTTCCATTTAAAAAAGAAATTTGTCCCCAAAACTTTTTTTTTTGGGTCCATCAACCCGTACAATTTCACCCCTCGACCTAAAGTTGCTACGGAAAGATCGACCTAACGGTTTTGTTCTTATCTCTAGAAGGGATCTAAACGGTCAGGTACCATCTTTTTTTTAAGACAATATACCCATCTAGAATTTAGAGTTTCATTTCAATTGTAATGTAAGACATCGTGCCCGATTCGGACATTTCCCTCATCTCGAAACAGGTTCGGCAGTATTTATCCTGTTTTTGTTACGCATATGGCCGCATCTGCTAAAATCCGGCTCATTTACTTCAATCTTTGTGCTGCCAGGAAGCCTTTCAATACCTCTATTCGTGTGATTTCAAGACTAGATCATTGGCATAAGGGCTTCAACATTGGCTCCAGCATCTGGTTATGAGAAATGGCAGATCTAAGTTCAAAAAGTGGTTATGTAGAATGTTTTGAATCTCAGTTGCAAAATTTTATTTTTTATAGTTGCATAATTATTTTTTTAGTATGTTTCGTTTAACCGCGGTCTAAAAAATTCCAGATAATTTTTACAAAAAGAGAAATTGTACAGATTTGGCGAGTAATAATTTATTGGTTGCTAAAAATCAAATTGAACTCGTCTAATTGATTTGTTTACAAAACATCGTTTGATATTTTAACTGTCTTTTACAATTTTATATATAAATGTTATTGTCTTTTACAATTTTATATATAAATGTTATACAGAAGTATGCACAAATGTTGCTGAATTAGTACTCATACTTTTTTGATGACCAACGTATTGTTTCTTATTTGGCAACCAAGTTTTTTGTTGGGATGTCTTGGCAGGTAGTTTCCCATTTGTCGTTGCAAAATTATTTGTAACTGATCTTAATGGATTGGTGGAGATGTTGACTTCTTGTATTGGAGGTGAATTGACAACAGGTGTTTCAGTGAGCAATGGATCAAACTCCATCTCTTTTTTATCAGAAATTAAGAACCCCTTTTCCCGTAAGAATGTGGTTAACGAACTGATTGCCTGTGTCAAGTTGGTCTTGTTGTTATCGAAATAACATAAAATAATTTGATGATCTCCTTCAACTTGCCTGTGGAGTTGTGTTTTGTTGGTAGTGATGGATGCTTCATTTACTAACACTTCAATTCCTAACAATATTTTAAATGGAATCAGAATTTTATCTTCAAATTCTTGTTTGTTGATATTGAATACTTCGTCGAATTTTCCAGGACTATAAGTAAGTCTAAATTCATAATTATTAGGTAAAATAGTTTTCAATTGCTTCCAACAAGCGTTAACCTTAGATTCAGCTCCTTTGATATCAACAATTAATTCATTAGAATCCTTGAAATCTCCTATGGAAACTGGAAAATCAATAAAGCAGCTATAATCCGATTCCATTTTATTCACTTGCCCTATTTTGTTACTATTGATTATCATGAGATAATGACTTCTCCATAATTGGAATTTTAGTGTGTGATAGACGGTAGTGTTTCTTGTAGTATATGGAATGTTATTCATGCAACAATTTTCAACCATTTGATCAATTCCATCTTTTGCCAAGCTAATATTCCTGGCATTCTTCCGAGGACATTTGATCAAAACATTATTTGTTCGTTTAAGTGAATAAGCATTGCTTGCATTTTTATTTGAGAATGAAAACTTTATAAAGACATTATATTTCTTCATAATTGATTGAATGATTGATCCGCCATTTCCAATAATTGATTTATGAAACACTTCTGGTACGTTGAAAGTCAATTCAGCTGGTAATTCCAACTCGATCAAATCAAGTGTTTTGTTCAAAATAGGAACATTTGAACCATTTGATACTTCAACATCAAGATAAAAGTTATATTCATTATAAGCTGAGAATTTTACCAGTGGGATTTTGTTTAACTCGTTAATTATCTTGAGTAGTTTTCCATTCTTTTTCCCACTGATAAAATCACGTTGGCCGTTGCTCAATTCCAATCTTAATTTAATACTAGTCAGTTGTGCTTGAGGTGGTAATTGTTTCATGATATGTCTGATTTCTTCACAAGATCCACTGATTTCCAAACCATGTGCGTTGGTGGTTGCAACACATGTTTTCTTCAACTGGACTAATTGTAATATAGAAAATTCATCCATAACCTCACTACCTGTGATCTCAAGACGATAGTAATTGGAAGGAATCAAATTAATTTCATTGATGCATTCATTGAGTGTTTCTAATGAATTACCCTGAACTGAAATGATATAATTTTCCTCTTCTCCTAAACCGGGCAAAAGTATAAAAGTGCCATATTTGAACATTATGTTTAAAACATCATGTTGATTATATAACACCATTGAATCAAGTTTATCCTTAGTCATATGAATTTCCTTGGTGATTAATTCCCGTTGTTGTCCGCTTTCGATCAAGTTACTTAAAATAGATTTACCTAGCACTAGCTCACTGACGTTCTTACTTGTGATCCAAATTTTCATATCCTTGTTATTGCCTACCACTTTGGAACTAAACAAATTAGGTAGTAAATCAGGAACATAAATGTTACAATTGGTCTGTTTTGCAATTTGATTGAAGTTAAATAAATCGAATCCGCCAACAATTGGAATCATGGATAATTCAATATCTATTGATTCAGCAACATAATTGTTCAAAATTGTATCAATTAAGATACGTAAGGATGCCTCACAAATAGTGATATTATCCAGTTGACCCACAATATGAAATACATAGCCCTGTTCTAATGTTTTCCCTGAATTTGAAAATGCATTTTTATTATTGTTGATTATAATCTCCACTTGATATCTGTTACACAACTTAGTCATTTCTTGAGTGAATTGTTCGTCGATGGCCATGAATTCCATTTCATTGATAGTTAAGGATTTATAATTGATATGATTATATTGTTGCAATATGCGAGCTCTAGATACACAGACAAAATCCTGATCCCCATGGAAGAAGACATTGATCAAGGGACTATTTGCCAGGGGACTAATAATAGAAATATGGTTATTCAGGTTTCCTAATTTTCTTTGGAGTACATTGATTTGATTGGCTATTTGGTGGATTGGATATAAGTTGTCAATCATTCTATAAGAAAAGGTTTCGGCATGATATGTCTTCCAAAGACCAGTGTTTGTTTCATAATATGTAATTGTCTCGGGTTGTGAAACTTTCGGATCAATTAGGAAGGAATGTTCCAAGTTAAGTATAACTAAATTATCGATCATAATCAATAGTTGAAATCTGTAAAGGTGTTGAAGAATTGAAGATGGGCTATAATAAAAAACAACAAGCAAGTGTTAGTGGGTATCAATAAAAAACAACTAGTAAGTGTTAGGGGGTATCAATAAAAGCTAGTAGGCTAGTTGGTTGAATAGAAGGAGCAGGATTAGTTTAAATAGTAATCGTGGGGATACATAGATTCTTTTATACGTAATTGATTGTCTATACAACGAACAGAAGTATTGAAGACATAATGAATGTAAAAAATTCAAGTAAACAATGAGATGAGAGATGCACTAAATCGGTCTACATTATTTTCATCTGTATCTAATTAGGAAATCCCGTGCTCAGACTTGGCAGATCAAAGACAGATCTTCGGAAATCGAGTTTCCTAATTGGGACGAATTATAAACATTGGAAGCGCAATTCAATGTTTTCTGTGCAGTTTTTTCGCAGCGTTTTACTTCATGCAAAATAAAGGGTTGCGAACTCCTTACATATGTGGCTGCCCCAGAAGATACAGGTTGCGAGGGGAACTTGCAGCGGGATAGACTATCTGACTCTGTTACTCATATAGTACTCAATTTGTAGGATTGAAGAGGTTGACATTAAGAAGCGGGTGTAAATATTTCCTTGAAAGGAATAATTGTAAATATTGTAAATTTGTTAGAATTTTTCTTAAATATTTCAAAGCTTGAAAAAGTAGTCAACTATACATTGAAGTTTTTCTTATACATTGACTATTCAGTTCTAAATGGGTAAGTAATATCCCAGCTTCCAAACAACCCATCATGTACAAAAGCGTTCATTTCGGTGATCAAAAAGTCGGTAAATTTGAAGATTACACATATTTTATTACTATTCCTTAATTAGAGGCTTTACAATATGATAATTTCAAATAAATAAAAGGTGAATTGTTT